TTTAATAAAAGTATAATTATTTGAAATATACAGGGTGATATGCAATACCCGGTTCACCTCTTATTTATGGCAAACTAGACTGAGTCGAAAAGTCCTCTACCATTTTGCAATTTTCGCAATAGTTAACGAGTTATTGATTATTAAAAATCGCTGTCTCAGCCCGACCTACCGCCCAATTCAAACGCACGGCGAGATGTGGCCGTCGCACGATTGGCATTGCTAGGCGCGCGGAGAGTTGTTTATTATACGTAGCCGTGCCGGGTGTCATAAACAACTCCCCGCGCGCCTAGCAACGCCAATCGTGCGACGGCCGCATCTCACCGTGCGTTTGAATTGGGCGGTAGTCCGGGCTAAGACAGCGATTTTTAATAATCAATAACTCGTTAACTATTGCGAAAATTGCGAAATGGTAGAAAACTTTTCGACCCAGTCTAGTCCGCTCTTTCCGTAAATAAGAGGTGAGGTGGATATTACAGAACACCCTGTATAAGTGGTGCTTGATGAACAATTCGCCGGAAGCACATGGTGAAACACGGTAGATCGCGTACATTCCGCACGTATTTGTATACCAGCTTATTAAAAATTATAACGAGTGTACTTATTAGATCCCGATGAAACTTTCATCAAAAGGAATTCGTTAATGAGAGCTGCGCTTGTTACCGTATCTGTCTCCTTTCCCACGGTGCTTTGCGCAGAAAAAAAAATCTTTGTTCGCCACGCTGTCCTTCTCGCGCATCGAAAACGGAGCAAGCACGTGCCACGGTGCGGCGCGGCGCGTACGTAACGCGGTCGTTAAGGTGAAAGTTCATTCGCCGGCGGACGATCATCAAGAGCGACGCGGCGCGACGCAGTAATCCAGCCGGCAGAAACTCGGAAGAAGATGAAAGGAGGCAGAGCGGACTCCTTTCCGTACGAGAGGGCTTGATCGCGTTCGCACTCGAGAGGAGCTTAGGGAGACAAAAGCGCGCTCGCGGATGCATTTTCCACGAAATCGATTTAATCGAGTCACCACGACGACGATGACTCGCCACCCGGTGGCGGTGGTGGTAAACCTCGCTAAGAGAGAGTATTGACCTACGTCAGGGGTTCCCAAGCCTGGGAACTAAACTTGGGCACGAAGGTGAAGGGGGAGGGAAGGGGAGAAACACTGTGTAGGTCGCGCGTTCGAAGATAACGTAGCCAATGATAATGACGATCGAGATTACGGCGGTAGTCGAGGAAAGAGCACGTATTTTTATGCGAGAACCCTGTTTGCAAAGGTTTAAAGCTCCCGTCTTACTTGCACGCGGAGAAATTAAGATGCCTCGGAGTCACAGTTGCCTTTTTATGATGTGTAAAAGCTTTTATATCTAAGACCATTTCGACCAAACTCTGGTTAATTTAATCATTGATTAACTCAGCCAATACAGTTGCCAAAATGACGAATAAATACACATTATGCAGAAAGAAAGAGAAGAACCTCTTAATAGCAGAAATACCGTTGGTAACACTGAAAGTTAATTGTCGATTTAACCAGAGTTTAGTCGAAGTGGCCATTACTCTTTGAACTCAGACTTGGCGATCCTACAATTCCCGCAATTTAGGGAAATATTGATTTATCAAGACCAACTTCACTCTGGGCACTTTATATTGTATCGCGCAACCGTGTAAAGGCGTGGCTGTCTTCTTAAACTTAATTTACACATAACTTTTAAATAAGGTAAACATGCGTTCCAAAGACTTACTCAAGATTATAGTTTGTTAACACTTCATTACAGTTAAGGCTTTCTTCTTGGCGAGTTCTTCGCGTTTCCTACCGAGGAATATGTTCGTATGCAACTCGATGCAGAATCGGGTCATCGTAATTTTTCTCCTTTCTCTCTCTCTCTTTTTCGCACGTTCTTTGCGAAAGACACTGCCGTTCTCCAAAAGAAGGCTCGTAACAGCCGCAAACTTTACATTGCCGGAATGATGCCGCATCGCGCGCAGTGGACCGGTTTTCTGTTGTTGTACGCGGATCGTATGGTCTCTCGTCGGTTCCCAGAGTCACTTTGTATACGCGAGAGAGGTAACACCGAGCGGTATAAACAGCAGTAGGGCCGTCGCACCCTTCCAGAAGGGAGTTCCAATGCACCATGCCATTGTTTCTCAACAACGACGAAAAACAATAACTACAAGCGACGTGTGCACAGGAGCCAGCTTTCGGAGTCCAGTCTGCAATCAACGCACGCTAATCCAACGATTGATTCTGGACATCGAAAGCAAATAACAATTAACAATTATACTGTTGGTGAAACTCTTTGAAAGAGATGGATGCGACAACACTGTTTCTTTCCGGAGCTTATTAAGTGCGCTCGTTGTAGATTTTCGGGGAAGACAAGCGAACCTGCAAGACATCGCGTGCGACAGATTTCCCAAATTCCATCCTTACGTCTGGTCAAGTCTAAAAATAGCGGTCGATTTCGTTTCGCTGTCTCTTATCGACAGGCGAAGCACTATTACGTAATACGATGACATTTTTATTTATTATTTATATACATTTGATGGTCGAATTACCAAGGGACTCGCCGGAGATATCAGTCGCTTTAACTTCGCGACGGATAAATCTCGCGCCAGCGGCTAAAGATTTATCCGGCTGCAACAAAGCTGCAGCGCTTTAAACCGCAGCATACTGCGCTCCATTTGCTTGCCTTCTCCGCTCCCCCGCCTGAAATGCTTTTCAAGCGCAATCGTTCGTACGTTGACTCGACGGAACGATTGCGTCGGGTGCGGCGTCCCGATAAGCGCCTCGAGGGGGCGAGAATCTTTCCTCATATCCATCGGGATTACACGTCTCGTATTCGGCGCGATAATCCTGCCAATTCGACCTAGGTTTCTTAAACGCGTGAGATTTCGCCCGGAAGAGGGAAGAACCTTCCTGTGCAAAATTCATCTCTGTCACTACCTGCTCCGAAGTAGTGGTTACAAAAACATGGTGTAAAGATACAAGGTGAAGCAATCTGGTGGATGCGCAATGTCAACCAATCAGAAGTGGCCCGAACTACCGAATTGACCAATCAGAAATTTGCCCCAAACTTCAAACTGCAAATGATTGCGGCTGAACGCAGGAAGAACCAATGAACAGTTTGCCTAAAAAATTGGTTACATGCGCAATGTTTCACCTTGTATCTTTACACCATGGTTATAAAGCTCTATATTTAGGTAAGAGCAAAACAGCCGGCTTAAGCCAACGGCACACGATACTATTTTGCCTACTGGATTGCTTACGAGAGCCAGTCAAGATTCAGTCTTGAGTCATCTGATCTAAAACTCTGCATCCTTAGTGGTTCACGTAAGCAATCCAATAGGAAAAATAGTATCGCGTGCCGTTGGCTTTAGCCTTAAGTCACTTGATTTAAAGCCAACGGCACGCGGTACTATTTTTTCTACTGGACCGCTTACGAGAGCCAATCAAGACGCAGAGTTTTAGATCAGGTGACTTAAAGCTAAACCCTGATTGGGGCTCTCGTAGGTGATCCAGTAGAAAAAAAACAGTATCGTGTACCGTTGGCTTTAAACTCTGCATCCTTATTGATTCTCGTAAGCGATTCAGTAGGGAAAACTAGTATCGTGTGCCGTTGGCTTTAGTGAAGAGGAGTAGTTAGCCGTGTAATTTTGGTCCAGTTAACGACGACTTGGTAAAAATTCAGACGCACAGTGAGCAAAGCGGAGGTGGCTGTTGAACTGGTGATTCATTAGCGGAAAGTTAATGACGCGACGGAGACGGACGACGGTCTTTTCTCCGCCTTGACCTTACGCACGCTGTGTTTACGAGTCGCCGCGTGTGCACTCGTATTATCTGATTCATTCGTATTCCACGATCGGCGTCCAAGTGTAACGGAACGCGTGGCGTACCGCGGTTTCCTGTAGCGTTTCCTTATACGTCTCGAAACGCTAAGCGATCGCTACTTAGACGGCCAATCGCCTCTCCTAATTACGTAAGGCAACTGAAACATTTAATGGCACTCAACAAAGATTTGGACATATTTTAATAATTGGATAAACAACAAGGAACTCTCATGGGAGATATTTGCCGAGTTAAGTTTATTTAAAAGAATTTGATTCTCTTTCATTATAATCAATTCTATTTCTTTTTGGCACATAAATATTGCACATTGATATTTAAATATAAATATGATTACAAAATAAAAATAAATATATATATAAATTTATTTACTTATTTACACATTTGTAAATTGACCCATTCACCCAAGTGTATCAAATGATAATATATAGATACAGGCTTGCAAAAGTTGCTCTAATAACGAAACGCAAACTGTAATACAATGGATAAATGTTTCTTTTTTCACATTCTCGAATATAATCTTTTCAACCTCACGTTTCAAAGTTGGCCTATGAAGAAAAAGATCGTTCTTTCTCGCTGGTCATTGCGGCAACTTGGCTGTCCTTCGAATAACGGTCGATGTTCAGTACTCCGACCACTTCCGGTCGGAAGTGTATAAGACTGCGGTAGCGGAAGCTACTACCGCCGTCAGGGCTGGCGTATCGATCGCTTCTCCTCGGCGTGGCGATGCGATCTTATCGGCTCATAGCGCTTTTTCGCGAGTTTACACGCGCGTTTCTCGTACGAGCACTTCACGGTCGAAGTAACGCGCGGAATTGCCAGGGTATTTGCTGGCAACAATCACGGAACAATGCCGGCCTCTCCTGCGAAGTGGCAAGTTTTGAAATCATGAAACGCAGCCACGTCTCGTCCTAATTCGCACTCAACCGACTCGGAAAGGAAAATTGAGAAAACTGTATAGCCTCGACATTTTCGTATTAGGATTTTCATCTTACATTTATGGCTCACAATCAGTATATCACTAAAATTGCGGTCGCGAGTTGTGGGACACTTTGTATATCAAAATTGTACAAAACCATTAATAGACATTCGTTAAGATTCTGAAGAATCGAATAGGTAAATGTCCAATAAGTGCGATAGGTATGAAATTATCGATTGTTCCTTTATTTTTTTGCAGATCCAGACTAAACGTGAGCTATTCTTCAAAAGTGATGGCACAGGTATAATTTCGTCGCCGTCAGTGCCATCGGTACCGCCGCCGCAGCCACCGACGCAGGTACCTGGGTCTCAGGTGAACAATTCGTCGACAGCAAACGCCACGACGGCTAGCAGCCTCACGTCTCCAAACACGGCGCCGGTGTATTCCAGCGGAGCCCTGAGCGGGCTCAATGCGAAGTCGCGGCTGCCGTCCGCAGCGGCGACGACAATCCCGAACGACGCCTCGGAAGACAGCAACAGGCGCGAATCGGCACGTACCACGATTTCCTCCAAAGAGGACAGCAACAAGGAGACCAGTCTGCTGCACCATGCGCGACCCACACCGCCCACCAAACCCAAAGAACTCGACGGCTACGTCGGCTTCGCGAATCTCCCCAATCAGGTGTACAGGAAGGCCGTGAAGAAGGGCTTCGAATTCACACTCATGGTCGTAGGTCAGTGCTGGTTTGCCATGAAAATTTGGATAAGTTGCGCGATTGAATATTTATCTTGACACGAATTGTACACACGAGTTATTAACAAATGGCACAATTGATACAGAGACAAATCAACCGATTTGTACCTAGAAAATATACAAATGTACGAGAGTTTCCTTTTTAACAACGCCGAGTGGGTTGTAAAGGCGTAATCGCGGTAGCCGTGGAAACACCGTAGAGTCTACCATCAAGGTCGAATCTCTGCAGCGGGAAGCGCGATCCCGGGGTTGGGCATTAAAATGTCCATTACGCAGCTACGGAAGAACAACGGCGGTCTTTCTCGCGAGAGAATTGGCCCTGGCGAAGGACAAAGGGGTCCGTTTCTTCGGTAGTTGCAGCGGTATTCCCATTTCGTTCGGAATATCATCTCGCGATGCAACCTCCCATCTGCCGAGCACGTGCTAGCTTCGTCTCTTTCTTTCTCGTTCGGTTCTCTCTTTGCTCATCGAATCAAGGCTGTCGCCGAGGTTCAGCGGTTCTCACACGCGAGCATATCCGCGGGGCATGTCCGATTTCGACCTTCGTCGGATCCTCTCTCTCTCCCTCCACATCGAACTCGTCATTATTTATTACGAATTACCGTGATGTGTTCTCGAGATGACCAATTTGCGGCAATAACGCATCGTACAGCAACTTTGCAACCTTTGCAATTGAAAAAGGCCATAAATTGCTAATTGCAGCCCGCGTTTTTCTCTCTGCCGCGCTTAAGCCTGTATTACACTACAGATAAGGGATTGGATTGAAATTTGATTAATCATTACTAATCTCAAGTTTAGTGAATTTGGGTCTAATTAGTCAAATTTCAATCCAATCTTGAGGTGTGCCCTTTACATGGAAGCGTCGAGCGTCAAGCGTTAAACACGCGCGCAGCACTTTCACGCAGGAATCTCAACACGCAGATTTTAGCGTCTTGACGCTAATAAAATAGCTATTGGCAAAAGTTCAATAAAGATTGTAGGGGTAATAACATTGAAAATATACATACAGTTATTCATTACATAATATTATAGATATTGGATAATATATTTATTATTTTTTTTATAGAATTTTATATGATTAGCAGTGTATATTAGAATCCTAGCAAAGATCTTTCAAACACTGGGAAATATTGCGTGATAGAATACGTGTTTTTCTGCAAATATTGTTATAAACATTCAAAGCTTATTTTCCCTTTTATTGTTTTATTTTATTACATTTGCAATTATTGGACTGCTGCAATTAACTCTACTCTCTTTATTGAGTATAGGCTTTCAAAATATAGTACCGCTATCGATCAGCAGTATCGCTAACAGAACAGCGTGGAGATAACTGCAGCAGTTTTAATAACTGCAAATTAAACATAAAAGGAAGAAGACGTTTTGGATGTTAATATTTGCAGAAAGACGCGGTTTCTATCGTGCAATCTCTCCCAGTGTTTGGAAGGTCTTCGTTAGGATTCTAATATACATTCTAAAAGTTAATCAGTGCATTATCACTGAAAACAGTTATAAATATAGCACTGAATAATTCAGTGAATCAGTAAATATTCACTGTTTTCAGTGATAATCCACTGATTGACTTAGATAGTACGCTGTTAGTTGGAAAATTCTATAATATATTATCTAATAATAATATCTATTATTGTATATAAGGCATAACTATACATTTCAACGTTACTCCTGTGATACATTTATTGAACTTATATCAATAGCCATTTTATTAGCGTCAAGAGGCTGAAATCTGCAGGTTTAGATTCCTGCGCACGTGTTTGACGCTTTAACGCTCGACACTCGACGCTTTCATGTAAAGGCATCTTTAATCTTAATATTTTCAATCCGTAGTCTGACACTGGCTTTAGATTTATCATTTGACTGCGATTCCTCCAACGAAAAGAACGGTGTAATTGAAGCTCGTTAAGAGGATCCCTCAGCCATCTTTTTTACCGACACAGTCGCAAATCTAGTTTTTGCGCTTGTAATTCTTTTTATTGCCTTTTCTGCACAAAATAATACCAGGATAAGTTGCATAGCGGAAAATTTTCACGCTTAAAACACTCAGAAGTCTAATAAAAAAATTTATATTTAAAATTTTCAATTCGTAGTTTGTATTAAATTCGAAATTGGCTTTATAAAATTGCAAAATTCTTCCACGCGACTAAAGTACGCACAAAGACAAAACCAGGGACGGTCAACTTTATATAAAAAACGAAGGGAAATTAAAAATATACACTTTTTAAGCGAGTGACTGAGGGATCCTCTTAAAGAATGACATATTTGTCCGGTTATCGATACTTCTCATGATAAAGTGGCTTTCATAAAATAGTGGCCTGGAAGTATATGTGCACTAATGACATCGAAGATATTTCAAGAATTCGGCCGGGGGTTGGAGGAGGAGGACGCGGTAACAAAAGTGCTGACTAAACCGTCAATCTTGAACAAAGCGCGTGCAAGGCACGGGTGTGAAAGAGTGTCATTGGGTCTGGAGAAATTTGAGAGCATGGTCTGCGTGCGGGGGCTATTATTAGCCCGCGTATAAGCGGAGCCGTTCCTCCGTAAATAGAGCAATTCAAGAGCTTACCCTTGGCTGAAGGCGTAGGCGCGGCACCTCGCCTGGTTCAAGGTTCGCGCATTAAGAGGTCACGGCATTCGTTTCGTCTCATTTCGTTACGGTCACCGTCACATAATTTATTTCACCACAAACCCGTTGAATTCGCGGGACGTCGTAGAAACGTGTCCGTCTTAAGTATTTGGGCTCAGATTAATAATCGTTGTCATGATGACGGAACGCTGGAATATTGGTCTTGAAAATTGTAATTTTCTGGTGCGTTACAGTAATATTTATGAAATGATACCCTTGCAAGAGGATATATTTATCGAAAGAAATCGTTTGATAGATGTATTTCAGCTAAAATGCACGATTACAAAATCTTTAAAAATATTCTTATAAGTAAGAAGTATTACGGTCAATTTATGAGAAAAAAAACAAGATATTAAAATAAAAAAAACACTTATTCAGTAAAATACAATAAAATAAGTTTGAAATACGTTTTTTAGTCAAGCGGTAAAAACATGTAGCTATAATTCTATGTTTGAAGACATGAATATAAGTCCTTCCATTATAAAATGAAAATGTCCAACAAGAAAACTCGTAATCAGGATTAACAAAGTTAAATTGTATTCTCGCATCAACCAGTCAAAATAAATTATTCATAAAAGACACTGGTAAATAGGCGGAGTAGACTATTTTCAAATAACTGCTTACTCTCGTGAGATCTGTTTGTGGATTGTAATATTTTTATAATTAGAACTGTAGAATGTACATTTCTGTAAATGTTTAATCACATTATTTCAGTGATTAAAATGTGTATTTTAGTAGGCTATAATTCTACAATTTGTGTTAAATTTCTCTTGTTCAATTGTTTTAATTTTAAGAACAGCCCACAAGCTACATTGTCCTACGATTTGATATATATATATATATATATATATGTATATATATTTATTTATCAAAGCGTGCTTTTAAATTTTTACAGGGGAGTCTGGTCTCGGCAAATCTACCTTAATCAATTCCATGTTCCTGGCGGACATATACAGTGCCGAATATCCTGGCCCTAGTCTCAGGATAAAGAAGACAGTTGCCGTGGAGACTAGTAAAGTGTTACTGAAGGAGAACGGCGTCAATCTCACTCTCACGGTCGTCGATACTCCCGGTTTCGGTGACGCTGTGGATAACAGCAACTGGTAATGCATCCACTGACGAAACAATCGAAAGCTCGCGATTAAAGCTTCATCAAATCCGTTCCTCTTTCAACATCTTATCTAACAACATCTTCTACCTTTGTCCAGTTGGGTGCCTGTAATTGACTACATCGAGTCGAAATATGAGGAGTTTCTCAACGCCGAATCCCGCGTGACGAGACGGCAGATCCCAGACAGTAGAGTGCATTGCTGCCTCTATTTCGTCGCACCCTCCGGTCATGGATTGAAGCCTCTCGATGTAGAGTTCATGCAGCGCCTCCACGACAAAGTTAACATCATACCCATTATCGCTAAGGCAGACACAATGACGCCGGATGAATGCGCGTACTTCAAAAAACAGGTATAACTTGTTTATAATGCGTTGTAATTTTAAAGGATAAATTAAGAACTTGGTTTTCTTAAAGGATGTACACTATTAAAATGCATTAAAACAATTGTTTTAATTGAAGTTTGAAGTATAAAAAATGAAATTTTTAGTGCCTGAAGTCAGAATTCTTAATATTTGCGGCGCTAGAATTTTCTTGCATGAACGCTCTGCAACACTCGGCGCCTATAGAGCCTATTTCCACACTGCTGTATTTTATTTTGTTATAAATTTTTATGGGTCGAACAAACTTATAAATGTCGATACTTTTTATAAAAATTCGTATTGGTGTGACTTGAAAACATGATATGCTATAGTTCATGCCAACTGTTACTTTTAAAATTAATACATTTTAATTAATGAGATTAATACATCATTTAAAAATTACTGTAAACTCTTATAAAAAACTTTCTCTTACATAAATCTGTAAATAATAATATTATACAATTTAACAGCAGCCCAGAAAGACTTCATTTCATTGCATATATTTTTCCTTCTGAATTAATTTAATCATTGTCTCGCTTTTCAGATTTTGAACGAGATTGCGCAACACAAAATAAAAATCTACGAGTTCCCGGAGGTCGAAGAAGAAGAAGACAACAAACTTCATAAGTCATTAAGGGACAGAGTGCCATTTGCAGTCGTGGGAGCGAATACTGTCGTCGAACACGAGAATGGGAAGAAAGTGCGAGGAAGAAAATATCCCTGGGGAATTGCAGAAGGTATGTATGGTTTTCTAAATCAAAATAATTGATCGAGACTTAATACTATTGGAAAAGATGATCAATTAGGTAACTACAGAATAGCTAAGCAAGCTAGTTTTATATCTGAAAATGTTCGGTTTTGCTATACTTTATTTTACTTCTATTATATCTAGTTTATTTAAGAGTTTTGTTGTGCGTTCTTACACTGTTTATATTAATACAAGTATCACGTGGAGAATAGAATAGATAAATAAGAGTCTAATATGTTTGGCATTTTCTTTCTTTATATGTAAACTTATGTCGATTTTATAATTTGTTTCTATTTCGTTTCTGTGCACAGTTGAGAATCTAGAACACTGCGACTTCATTGCGCTCCGAAACATGGTAGTAAGGACGCACGTGCAGGATCTGAAGGACGTGACGAATAATGTGCACTACGAGAACTTCAGGTGTCGCACCTTGGCTGGTCTAGGCGTAGATGGCAAACCAACAAAGGCCTCGAATAAGTAAGTGCAATCCGTGCGATTTCTCGTTAGACGTTTCATTACCGCATTAGAACAGTTTTGTCGAGAAGTAGTGTGTCTTGTCCTGTCGAAACAGACAAACCGAGCGTCACAGTTTAACAAAGAAAAGAAAACAGGCGAATTGTCCATCTCGAGTCAATCTGATCATTCATCAAGTTGGAGTCAAGTGATAAAAACTACAAGTACTCAAAACAAGTGTCTTTAAATATGACAGCCGTTTAATCTGATGTCGCGTAATATGGTCCAATTTATTAATTTACCTGTCCCCAGTGCTATATTAATATTATTGCCGGACGCATAAAGATGGCGAAACGACTGCTTATCTCCCTTGGTCGGACCCAGCTCGCTTTTACGACGCTCGTTTTTTCTATTCGAAACACGAGCAAGGTTGTTTGTTTCGTTGAGTTTGATTTGAGCACGCAGTGTGTATACCGGCGAAGCACTCGACTGTGTATGCGTGATGAGATGATCGTTTTATCTCGAGCTTCAGTATCACCAGTAATACGACACAGTGGTCCTTGCGAGTCGATTACGTTACTGTTCGAAACATGCTTATACCACACGGTGTTTTTCTGTCTTTCCATTCTTTCTTATCGTCCCGAACGGAATTCAGAGAAAGGTTGTGCATGCAAACTGCCGAAGGCCTCAGTGACTCTCGCGCTCGAACTATCTTAGCGTAACTCGATCGCGAGCGGGATCTATATCCGTAGTTTAGACACGAGAACGCTGCCGAGGGAGCGGGGGGGACGAACGGACCAACCAACCCTTCGACAGCGTGTCGTCCGTGCGAATTTTAATGGTGAATTTCTTATTGGTCAGTTTGTGCCCTCCAGGAGTGATGAACAGTTTCATGATGGTGTGGTAAGTCCTTTAATAAGGCTCAAAAGGATATATGGTTTTGTGTGCACAAGCCTTGTCGAGTTTCGAGACTATTCCTGTAATCTTCCAATTTAGGAGGACTTGCTGCGCGTGGATCGTAAGGTCGAAGGCGAAAAAATTTCATCACAGAATGTTAGAAAAAATTAATGAAACAGACATCGTACGTCCTAAATAAACTGGCCGTAACTTTAATTGGTTGTCACATCAGGATCAATAAATTGAAATGTTGATTGAATTATTTCAGTTTTATAATTTATGCGAAGAGCCACGCGTTTTCTCTCCATTCTGTATTTGTGACGCGTTGTGTAATTAAAACGCGTATTCTTATCTGATTTATACATTGCGAGAAATCGATCGAGCGCTTACGTGTAATACGCTCAGTGAGCCCTCCGAATACCCGATGCAAATTATTGTACGCTGTTTAAAAAGAGAGCAACTAGACGTTAGATTTTTCACGTTGAACGTAACATAATTTATGTTTGCTTGACGCCTTTATATCGATGTGTGTTTACTTTCGCATTTAGTATATAGCACAACGCGTAATAAGTAGTTCTCTTACGTAAAGAGCAAGCATATCCAGTTACTTTTACAATATCTTTTACAACTGTAAATGTATTATGGCTTTAGAAATTTTACCGTGGCAATCTTCTACAGTAAAAACTCTAATTTGCGTCGCATATGAAAAAAATTAATACTATATGTCAGTGATGAAGATGTACTATTTAATAAATACTGGACATAATTTAAATATATAACAGAGTTGCGAAATTTGTAATTTGGAAAAATGTAAATAATAATTACTTGTGCTTCCTCATAGAGGAATTCTTCTCTCACGCACATGCGGGTTTTTGGCTTCCTCATGGAGGAAGCTTTGTGCGCAAATTCTACAGAAGCAATTTGCAATTTGCATCTTAACTTACAAAGCTTTCACTATGGAGAAATTAAAAAATCAACTTGCCCAGATAATGAGGAAGCAATGTGCAAATTTCTAATTTTTTGTAATTGTTATGAAACTTGACTGTAGCTACAATTCTGAAAAGTATTTTCATTTCATTTCGATCCCAATTACAATTCTGAAAATGATTTGTGTTTTATTTCAACTCCAATTACAGTTTCAAAAAACATTTGTGTTTAAATGTTTACTTCACTTACAGTTCCGAAAAATATTTGAATATCAATTTGATTTTAATTAAAATTATGAAAAGTAATTATTAATTAGACAGGAATTTAATTACAAAAGTATTTAGTTATTTGCTACCCTGTATAAGATCGTATACTTCATATACGTAATGGTATGCTGCACGAATTTTGCGACAAACTTTCGGAATGTAATCGAATTTTGCATATTTGGAGCATTATTTTAATTACAATGACGCAGTACTCAACCAATTATCTGTAATTTGTGTGACATCGATTCGACGTAAATTCGGGCTGCAGGATTTAGCCCTATACTGATTACAATCCTAAAGGATCGTCTACAGTAGATGAAGTAAGTCTGGCGTGAGGAGTAAGAGTAGAAGTAAAGAAATTAATCATTACCATTTCTTACTCCTGCTTCAGCTCTGACGCTTACTCTCGGCGAATTAGAGCGCAGTTCGAACAGTGCTACAAATATTTTTTTTAATTATGCCTGCACTTTTAGCTTTTACGTTGATAAGTAAGTGTTGGTCTACAACCTTGCTTTAAGTAAGCTGTAAGCCTTAAGCCGTAAGAAGTTAACCAATCACAGGTGAGAGTGAGGGGAATAAATGTCTGTGATTGGTTAATTAGAACTTACTTAAAGCAAGGTTGTAGACCAACACTAAAGATTACGATTTTCTTACTTCTTACTGCTTACTTCCAATGTAGACGGCCCTTAAGTCCCAGTCTACAATAGATGATTTAAGCCCTAAGCTTTAAGAAATTGGTCAATCACGGTCAAGTATGAGTAGAATACGCGACTATGATTAGTCAATTTCTCAAGGCTTAGGGTTTAAATTTCTATTGTAGACTGGAGCTAAAGCACTTACAAGCTTACCGCCGATAAATTATCTATTCTCTTATGCTATTACCAGGAGTAGTTCTATTTTTTTATCTCGCGATAAAGAATATATTTATGGAAACATATGTGTGCCTCTATTTCTCGGAATATTCGTAGCCTTGTCATACCGAACGCGTAAGTTTTCCACAATGCCACGTTGGTCAATATGATTTACTGTTATCTCTTTGCAGAATCATGCAGACGCTACTCAATAATCCGTCCCAGCTCATGTTAGTTATATGATAATTGCTGTATTAATGTGACAATTATAGCTAATTGTGTTAATCCAATTATTTGTAGTCAATTAAAATTTTTATGGTCTCTTTGTCGCAAGGACTGCGAGAGCCTATCTTGTCAGGATTTAAAGAATGAACTTCTGAAATTTGCACTGCAAAGAGCTAACGAGATCTCATACGAGTTAAATGCAGTAGTGCGCTCGTTAACAATTAGCTGTGTGCCAAAAGCGTCTATAAATGTCGCGTCATTCTGTATTTGCATTCCGACATATCCGATGTATCAGTGATTCGTACATTTTAGTTTAAATCCACTTGAATTTTTCCAGGAACCCGTTGGCGCAGCTGGAAGAGGAGAAGCGCGAGCACGATAATAAGATGAAGAAGATGGAAACGGAGATGGAGCAAGTTTTCGAGATGAAAGTTCGCGAAAAGAGACAGAAGTTGAAGGATTCCGAGGCGGATGTAAGTGAAACGTGCCGCCGATTTTACTTTCTTCTTTTATAATATCTTAGGATTATACATCAACATTGGCGAAAATTCGCTCAAATTGCGCGACTATTGCATCATTGATCTTTTCAATTTAATTAATTGGAAACTAGTTTAAAAAGATAGTTTTCTGTTCGTTCAACAGTCCTGTCTTGCTCCGACATGAATTTTTCTTCTATCTCTAATTGGATGCGCTTTTACGTGTTATCTGACGAAACGCAATTACCCGAGTAACGCTAATATCGGAATACGGAAAATCCGGGAAATAGTTGCAGAGAAGGCACGAACAGATGCGACGCTCGTTAGAGCAGCAAGTGCGCGAGCTGGAGGAGAAGAGAAGAACGTTCGAGGCGGAGAAAACTGCTTGGGAGCAGCAGACTGGCCACAGTATTGAAGAATTGCGCAGACGCAGCTTAGAAGCGAATTCGAAAGAGTAAGTAGCCCGTACCAATGAAAACGAGAGGGAAAGATGTGTGTTTCTTTGCACTCTTACACGTTTATTTCTCCATTTTGTACTGAGGAAGGTATATCGCTGTTTTTCGCACGAAACTTTTTTGTTAGAAACATCTTTATATCCAGCTTTGTTCTACGTTTTTTTAAATTTTTTTACTTTAATCGCCAACGAACGATTACGAACGATCAACGGAGCAGTTGTATCGCTTGATGCTTAGCCGCTGGTAATTTAGTATGGTTCTCGGAGTTGTTTAGACATATCCGGTTGTGTGACGCAAAACACACTCGGCGCAATTAAAGTCTGACGCAGCTTAATAACTTTCTTGTACACTGTGTTCTACCACCGTATCTTCCTCCGGTTGCAGAGATCGTTTATCAAAAACGTAGTCGAGGTTTGCCGTGGCGGAGTCATATCGGATGCTGTTTGATGTCATTAAAGAAAGTTCCACGAATTGAGATTCTGAAACATAAACCAGCAGTAGTTGACGTTTCACTATAACTTGAAATGAATTTAAAATAGCTTTTGTTTAAGAAATTTTCTTCAAGTAGACTATCGCGATATTTTTGGTCGAAAGTTCATGGGGACAAATGAAAGAAGTAAAAGAAAGATACAATAGTGGGTACACATTGTACAACATAGATTTCGCTCTCATTACAGTGTTCCGTAGTCGCTAATACGTGTATAGATTTTGATGTGCAATTTAATTGTTGTCGCACCGCAATACATTCCATTCACGCTTGACAATTTATGACCCTTTACATCCCGATCACTTTCGCAAAGCTTGCACTAATAACGGAATTATAAGTCGTTATCGATTCGACTCTAAGATTATCGTCACCGAACGAACGAATTTTATTTTCCAATTTATATTCACGATATTATCCGCACATGTATTATGTATTATGACTTTCACTCGCATATGAGGTATTTAGCGCTGAATGAGGCTGTCCAATTTTAAGAATCCTTGCAAGAGGACATTGCATTGTTATTAAATGTGCAACATTAGAGGCCGTGCTCGTTTCGCATTTGCCCACTCCGAGAGCAACCTGTCATTCGGCAGGGTGACAGTGGGGAATTCTGTTTGCTAATAGATGGATCTTTGGGGGAGTGGTCACTCTGCATCTATATGATGGTCTACCAAACCATCGAGTGAGATGCTAAGCATCGCTCTGGAGAGTTGCGCCAACAAATTGTTCCTATTTTATTGGGTGAAACAGAGTAGACGAGCGAGAGTACCGGGTGTGGGCCTGGATATCTCAGTAGGAAGAACAATCGTCCGGCAAACGGATAAGGTTCCAGATTCGAATCCTGGCCTATAGTCCCCGTCCGTTATTTTTCTCGCCCAGAAAAAGTTATTACGCGACGTGTCTTAGTGCCTCCCCGAAGATACATCCTTATTTACTGTCACGGTCTTACGTTAAGCGATTTTTCCTTTAAACCCCGACAACACGATTGTTGTTTGACGGACGTTGGAAGGCGTCCGAGAGTTTTCCTTACATTAACTGGATCGAGACCTGACGAGCACATTCAGCGCTAAATCGCCGCCGACGTTACCGCGCCGTTTCCGCGAGATTCATAAGAGACGAGGAACTCGTCGCGCCGAAAGAACGTCGGTGGCGTTCTCCAGGGCACTTTTCGGTGCCCTGTTGAGCTTGTACGCGCGGTACACGTAGGCTTAAGTCCGCGCCCGTATCTCTCACATCCGGGACTTTTGCTGTACACTCGCCAAAAAAAAAAGTCCGGTATGTTTGTCTCTCTTGTGTGTATACCATATCGGGGTATCCTCCTGATCTAGGACGGGATCGATGTCCTCCGAGGGATCTGGAGGCGGCGGGGGTACGTTGAGAGGGCCCCGTGGGATAAGCAGCCTCCTTCGTCGTCACACCAGTTTCAAATCACCTCAAGACAGCCCCGCACAGATACAGCTTGTCATACAGCATCCTGAGCACTCCTAATACAGACCGTCTCCCAGACCGCTCTCGCTCACCTGCGAGACCCGTTCCGAGATCGCCGCGCAAGCTCCTCGCGCCCGACCCTTATCAACCCTTATGCAGCTGAGATTGCCCTCTCTTCCGAGCAGCGACGGGATCGCGCGAAAGTTCTCTTGGCTCGGCAGGGGCGAGAATCAAAATACTTAGTTCGGTCGGTGGTTCAAATCAAAATGGCAAAATTGAACGGTGGGTCTTTCGCTTTCGGAAAGAATCGCTGTACACGCGCGACATCGCCTGAATAAGGGTTGAAAGGAGTGTTATCGTGCTCGAGAAGAGTAAGTGCTGTCTATCCGAGCGACTTGTCAACGTTACTTCGGCAGTGATTAAAGGCAGAAAGATATCTCTTTCGTTCAAGACATTTTTCGAGTGGTATTATCTTCGGTCTTTATCTTCGTCCTTTCAAAACTTGAAATTTTCAGCAGAAACATCGAATTGATGACTTTATCTTCCAGGTATAGGAACGTTTGTATTTTCGGACCTAGTGATTTAATCAGTTTTTTAATTAGCGACTTTCTCAATCAATTTCGAACTTTTGCGTCAAACGAGTCTAAACATTGAATATACTCCGTTGTCGCGATAAGCCGCACTTACTCGGTCCGAGACGCGTGCGTTCAATACATATCGTAATCTAAAACTATTGTACATTTCTAGCGTCCCACGAGCCCGTAAAGACATCGTTCGACATGAGACGCGCGTTTATAGCGCAATGCATAAATTCCTTCGCTATTTTAGATTCGATCATCTCGCATTCGCTTCGCTCGCTGTCGCGTCCCTCGTCGAGAGACATTGCGTACAACTTGAGCGTACATTTAACGCTAATTAAAGGCCGAGAAAAATAGGATCGGAATGGAAGGCACAGAAATCACGCGGCGGACGGAGTCGCATCCTCAGGCGAAGTTGAAGTCAGTTTTTCTTACACCGTGCGAATATCTATTTAGCGAATATCTCCGTAACCGAACGGCTGTTTAGCATCCATTTGTGAAATTAAGCCTCGAGGAAGGCCCCGGCCAGTTTGAGAACCGTGCTAAAACGTGCAAGAAATTCAATTACCACGTTGCGAATCTCACTTTGATGGAAACTTTCAACGGATAACCGATCGTCCCGGCAGTTTCGCATTGAGAGGAAGTTAATTGAAAGAACGGAAATTGCCGTAAGTCGAAAAGAGCTTGTCGTCCAAGATTCAAGTTCAGAGAGACTCGGTCTGGAAAGTTGAGAAAGTTCCGTCGCCAAGATGAATTCCGTCTCAAATGTCATACGTGACGCGCGCCTGGCCAGTATATCGTTTTTCCCGGACACCTCGTTCTCGAGTCCTTCGAGTTGCGTCGTCACGCGTCTCGCGTTACACGGTGTACGTTCAAGTACGTGATTCGTTAAACGCCTATTTTATTCGCGAAGCTCGTAGTATCGCTTACTCCCGCGTCTCGTCGCATCGCACACACAAATACGGGATCTCGGGCTTGCGTTTCGACAAGTGATGGTCTGGGCAATTCGCAGCGCACACGACGTATAAAGTATATATATATATATATATATATATATATATATAAACAATATGTACATTTAGCATCGTATTTTTGGCACTTCGACTTTGATAAATCTCGAGATTGTACGTAAGAAGATGCAAAATTATTTATCATTTGTCCTCGAGCAGGAGCGTTTTGTATTTACATTCAACACTTTTACATAACAACACACACACACACGCGCATGCACATTTTAATCCTTAACCGCGTTGCGTGCCATAATCAATCTTCCATGCCGACATCTGTGTCACGTTTATTTCCGATTATATTTACAATTAGGGCCACTATTTCCAACTATTTCCACTCTTTTCTGTTAACTCTAACCGACCGTTAACTTTTAATAACAGAATAGTCAATTTCTATCGGCTATTCTAAAAAGTTAAAAGTAATGGTCTGTTAAGAACAGTGAGCTCTGTAACTCACTATATAGGGTATCCCGAAATTCGAAGTTAATAAGATTGCAGCATAAAAGTTCGTGAAAAATTAAGTAATAAAAGTGCACGTCATTTTTTTTAAATAAAGCAGGATTTTAAGTGTGCAGGAGTTTAAAGTATTGGCGTTGGTTAAAGTCATCTGTCATCTGTCGGTGATTACAAATCTGCTTGATATCTAATACCATTGCACGCACGAACAGATGACTCTTTAGCCAATGATTAGTTATATTTTAAACTCTTATCTCTATATTTAAAATACTACTTTATTTTAAAAAACGACATGTACTTTTATTACTTAATTTTTCGTGAACTTTCGTACTACAATCTTACCCTCGAATTTCGGGACACTCAGTATACTAGAGTGCGTGGTTCTATTTCCTATTGTTCTCGATGTCGCCGCGAGAGAGAGGTGCTGAGCAAATGTCCCTGTCTCCTTCTCTATTATCCGATTAGTCTACGATTTTCTGTCTGACTTGATATGAGTGAGATAGATAATCGTTGATCAATGAGATAGTAGAGAGAGAGAGATTCACCTAACAGTACCTCTTTCTCGAAGACATTGAGCACAGTAGGACCACTCGCTCTAGTATGTTATAGAGCTCACTAGTTAAGAGTTAACAGGAACTCGATCATGAATCTTTTTTTTTCTAGCGTAAAGTTGTGAAAATTGCATTAATAAATATTAAACTCATTAGTGAAATTTTTTTCACTTTTCACGCGTTCATATAGAAAAGGAAAGGATTCACGATTGAATCCCTGATGTTGAAAATAATGGCCCCAGTTTCGCCATTTGTTCGAGCCTTCCTTTAGCGTCGATATTGGCAACAGCGCGGCTCTACTGTCTACCCTATGTCAGGCAAACTGTACCCTAGTAACGCAATATATTGGCGCAATATTGGGAAATAATGTAAATCTAGTATTTCCCAATATTGGTCCAATACTGTAAGATGGACGCCTTCTCTTTTTTAGTCAATATATCTATTTAGCAATATTGGTCTAATATTGAAACAATATTAGACCAATATTCTTATACATTGTTAAATATTGGCCGACGCACTTCCAATATAAATCTAATATTATATAATTATTATCGTGCAATATTCACATTCATTCCATGACCAATATTGGCTTTACGTTGGACAATATCGGTCAAAGCATTTTGAATGTAACCAACATTGGATCAATATTTAGCCAATGTTTAGCCAATGCACCGTGCTACTAGGGTATGCATTTTTCGTCGCAAACCCGACTTTCGTTAGGTACAGTGGCGTGGCGAAGGTAAATCAGCCCGTCAGTCGAGAGCGTGGAAAAACGTATCGGAATTACAAACAAAACTCATTGAAAAGTCTCTCCCTCTTTTTGAATCCGACTCTTTCGATGAGAAGACTCTCGCGAGAGAAAAGTTCAAACATTTTTATCGCTGAAAAAACCGGACAAGTGTGTTGAGGTGCCATTCCAACAAAAACTCTAGCTCTTTTTGACAGTCAATACAAAATTATTATATAAAAACTTTATGAAAGTTTTAACGAGAAACGAAAGGTTTTGAAGAATGAATTATCTCTGAAATTATGCGTGGACAATGAAGGGGTGAAGTCCTTTAAGTAAAATTTTGCCCACTGCCCCTTGACTCTCATAAAATTTTATTTTTATAATAGTTATATTGATTGCTGTAAAAAAAACTAGAGTTTTCGTTGGAGTGGCACTCATTAACCAGAAAACATCCCGATCGCGAGAGAGAAACGCGCGGTAAAGGGTCGACACAAACAAACTACACCTCGCGCGGTTTGCAAAGTTTCAAGTCTATTGTAAACTCTAAGCAAACTGTCGATCTCATCCGTTCAATTGGCTCTTAAGCTAGATATATATCTACGAACGAACAGCGAGCGCGAACGTTTGGGTAATCGTGTTCTGAAGTCGTTTGTTCCTTTTCTCAGTTGTGGAGAACAACCGGCATCCGGTCAGATTCGGTGTTCGCTGTTCGGTGTTCGAGGTTTTTGTGACGTTTGTACTATACGTAACAAAAATTTTAAGTATTGGATAACATTTAGGTAAACAATAATTCGAATTGTGCAGTAAACGCGCGTAGAGATAAATCATTACATTATATTTTAATTTTATATTATACGTATATTGTTCACATCGACGTATATAGAATGGGCATAAAACTGGATATACATCTACGAACAAACACCGAACGGACAACGAACATGTCCAGAGATTCGCGTTCGTATTAAGCTGGGTATACATTTACAAAACGAACGCAGAACGAACAACGAAAGCGAACGTTCGTTGTTATTATTCGGCAGATGTATACGCCGAAGCAAATGCGAGCAGAACGTTCGATTCGCGTTCGGCTCGATTCCCTCATGAGGCGGTACATCAAAGATAAAGGGAACGAACGCCTTCAGAACACGAACGCGATCTCCAAACGTTCGCATTCGGTGTTCGTTCATAGATGTATACCCAGCTTTATGAAGGCGTTCGTTCCTTTTATCTTTGATGTACCGCCCCGTGAGGTAATCGAGCCGGACGCCGAATCGAATGTTCTGTTCGCATTTGCTTCGGCGTGTACAGTCTTATTCATTAATGCCTGGACCTTAGTTCTACCAGGATTCACATTTTCATAATCTTTATTCCCATCTATACATTGGTGAACTTCAGGCTGTAATTCGCACCACTTCTATAGAAGTTTGTAATAGTGCAGTCTTATTTATTAATGCCTGGACCTCAGTTTTACTAGGATTCACATTTTTACAATCTTTATTCCCATCCATACATTGATGAGCTTCAGGCTATAGTTCACACAGCTTCTATAGAAGTCTATGGTAGCACATACATACAGCCTGAAACTCAGTGATTTGTGTAGATGAGAGAAATGATGATACAAATTCAGGTCCAGGCGTTAATAAGACTGTACATCTGCCGAATGATAACAACAAACGTTCGCGTTCGCTGTTCGTTCGATGTTCATTTCGTAGATGCATACCCAGCTTTACGCGCGACGTGCCAGCACACTCTGAAACGAGAGAGAAACACAGTAGGACATGTCTGTGTGTGTCTCTCTAATGTAGGGTTGTCAAAAGATCGTATTTTAACGGCCCTAAATAAGAGAGACAGACATATCCTACTGTGTTTTTCTCTCGCTTCAGAGCGCGTGCTGGCACGTCGCGCGTAACGCTCACCATCAGTCCATTTTATATGTTGATGATTGTTCATAGCAGAGAGAACGAACAGCACGTATGCGCGTCCATGTCACGCACGAGCTGCCTTTAATGTATGTACACACGGCGTCATTGATGCCTAGCCATCTGGGAGTTTTACACGGATCGAGGTAATTTTGAAAAACGTACGACTTTCTAATTCCTTGCGCATCATGACTACGGAAAGAGCGAATCAGCATTGCCGGTTTCAATGCCATGATGCACGAAGAGTTAGAAAGTCTCACACTTTTCAAACTTACCTCGATCCGCGTGCAACTTTAGATGGCCAGGCATTAATGACGTGTGCACCACCTCATGAGAGAATCGAGTCAAACGCGAATCAAACTGTTTTGTTCGAGTTTGCCTCGGCGTACATCTGCTAAATGATAACAACGAACGTTCGCGTTTGCTGTTCGTTCGGTGTTCGTTCGCTAAGTATATATTACCCAGCTTTACACGCTCGTTTTCCGCTCTGCGATAACGATTGCTCGAAAGTACACTCACGTAATTTAGATAATTTAGATCGCTCGCACAACGATCTGACGTTTCGTCTCACGGTAGGACACTCCGAGTAAGGAGGATCGATCTCAGAGAGAAGATGCAGAGACAGCTTGGTAGAGGATGTAACTTCCTATTTCTAATAATCACAGGCAAATTAAATGTATATTGTTAATTTCGTAATCTCTCGATAATCTCTTTTTTATTTCTCGCAAATAAACGCAATGCTTACCTAAAACCAGTTACTAACCGTTTTCAATCCTCTCGATTGCGATTATTTAGCTTATCAGAACGTTTGCGACGCGACGAGGGAAAGTCTGTGATTCTCGCAGCGGAGATTCGAGGCAGGAAAATGAATGCGTAATTCTCAAAACGCGAAAATCCAAGAAGAATGAACGGAATGTTTCCCTCATCGCCTTATAATGCGCCACAATCTGCCAAATGTGCATAATGTTTTATTGTTTTGTCGCATGTCGTCATTTTAAAGTCAACTTTTTGCGTGGTTTATTTTCTAATGAGATACTTCACCCACGACGAAATTGAATTCCGAACCGACGCGAGTGAATAAACAATATGTAAACGGCTTTTCAAATGAAGCTTTCTTCTGAATTCTATTCGCGTTTTCTTTTGAAACGCAATTTTATTAAAGTGACGATGTATTAACGTGCTCTCGTTGTGCATACATGTATCTGCAATTTTACATAAAAAAAATTACAATATCACGAGGCTAATTGTGGAGGCCGTTTTACATTCGTTCACTTCGAGGATCGCCTGTTCGTTCGACAGGGTAACGGAAGGGGAATTTGCATATTTTCTAGCGGAGTCTTCGGGGATGTGGCCACTCTACATCCATATACATATATGTCTACCAAACCATCATGTGAGATACCAAGCATCTCTCTGGAGAGTTAAGCCAATGGCACACGACCATTTACTATTTTTCCTACTGGATTGCTTACGAGAAAGGATTTAGCCTTAAGTCACCTGATCTAAAACTCTGCGTCCTTATTGGTTTTCTCAATCCAGTAGGCAAAATAGTATCGTGTGCCGTTGGCTTTACACTAACATATTATTTCTATTTTATTTGATGAAATATAGAGTAGATAAGTGAGAGGGGTATCGAGTGTGGGCCTGGCTAGCTTAATTGGAAGAGCAGTCGCTCGGCAAGCGAAAGGTCTCAGGTTCGAATCCTTTGTCTAGTCCTTCGCCCGATATTTTTCTCGCTTAAAAGTCATTGCGCGGGCACGTCTTAGTGCTCACCTCCGCGAAGATACTCTTCGAATTATTATTATGGACTTTGTACCTTTGTATTTGCGGGAAAAGAACGAACATTACCGCGGGTGAAACAAAAGTCGGAGATGACGAAGCACGGAAGCGGAAACGCGGGACTTGATTTCTGGACACACACGCCTGAGATCAGCATGTCGCTCCCTGATCGCGAGCAGAGGATGGGTTCGAAGCATGTTTTCGCATGAATAGATTTTTCATTCGCAAGATACATATTTATTTTGCATTACAGCCAATAACAATTTTGTATAACGGTACATGACGAATCGTGTTTCGCTTCAGATTTTTTTTTTTAGACCATCGACGTTTTCAGACCTCGCTTACATTTCTTTACAGCGTAACATAAATTAAATAAATTGAATGAATGACATAAAAATAACATACAAATGTAATACATATATCAGCAACGTTACCGTGTTGATTGAAATTACTTTTCATACAAATTGAATTTAACTTTTTCTGATATCACAAACGGAGAGATGGTCGAGGACGAAGGTTCAAATTATTACCGCGGACTTCGTCAAAATCACTTGCGCTATTGTCCTCGTCTCTCATCGAACGTCCCGTGTCGTGCATATATACCGATTATCGGAAAGCATCTCTCGGTGTGCAACTAAGATTGGCGCGATACAGACAATAATCTTGATATGAAAATTCTCCTTTCAGGACTGTTGACGGTAAAGATAAGAAGAACAAGAAGAAGGGTCTCTTCTAATCGCGTCGATTAGCAGGATAAATAGACAGCGAGAAAGAGAGCAGGCAGGAACGATCCGATTCAGACGTGGCTATCGCATTTTCGGCCACGGTATTTATCTACCGATGACATACCGACGAATTAGTTTCGATAAACGATAGGCTCAAATTGCGCGCAATGTATTCAATCTCGCGTAAGCACTGACGATCTCGCCACACGCTTGAACGTAATTCAGAGGAATAGCTGCCTAGGGTCAGCAACGGACTTGAAGATGTGTGAAATAGGCGACTATACTGAGAGATCTATGGAAGCGAGGAGCCAAGGCACTCCGAAACATGCAGGATTCGTGATTACCCGATCTCTAGTATCACCCTGCGATGCTGATTAATCTACAGAGTCGAGAGTCCACATGCATCCTAGTTTCTAGTTCAAAGATTCACTGGGTGCAGAATCTTGGACGTAAGATTGATTAGTAGCGAACCAGCTGTGGTATCCTCGTCGATACACATTGTCCTGGATAACATTGAAATTCACACGAATAACCTGCATCCCGTTTTTATTCGCGACGCCTGATTCATGCAAAACCGCAAACGGAAAGAAAGGGGAAAAAACCGTTTTCTTACGATAGAGTGCGTCCGCCTGCGCTTTTTTGCGCTTGCTATCCGGGAAGGAAAGAAAGGAAGAGAGAACAAGAAGCTGCACAATCATCTTTTCACGCTCATCAGCGTTTAATCGCGATCACCATTTATTTCACGTAACAACTGTACAAAAAAAAACCTATGTAGGCATAATTTTTTGGAGAACGTAATTTTCGTACTTTTTCTCGGCGTGAGTTAGCTCCGTTTCAGCTTATGTATCTTACTGCGTAACGAGAGCGTCATGTTCGCCACCCTCCGCTGATCACAATTACATGTTCGTTAGTTTTATGACTGGACAAAAATCGAAGACATTCGTCATATCAAAATATCTTACAATTATAACGATAGAACGTCTTGAAATAGAAAAATAAAAGTATTATACATATGCTTACGCTGAATACAATGAGTTTGGATCACTTTGGTATTCTTAAGTGATAATTTTGATATTGCGTAAGTATATAATCGAAATATTTTTCTGTGTGAATCCGCTTATCAAAAAAAATCAATTTTTTGTAAACTTATAACTTTATTTGATATACAGGATAATAATTCCTGAGTAAGTGCAAAAATGTAAGAGGATAACAAAAATCTACAAAATTCATGTATTTAAAGATAAATGTATGTAATATTTTATCCTTGGATTAATTTGACAAGAGAATTTTCAAATCTAGCGAAGTATTGAGACTTAAATATTAAGAAATTATAAAATGTTCTGACACATAAAGACTTACTAAGCATATGGTTCAATTTATATAAATCGAAAATTTACAATGAATTAAAAAATTTCTAATGGATCAATTTTCAATAAGTCAAAGAAAATTAGTTTGTAAGAGAAAATCATTGCGATAATCATACTTTTTATCACGTTATTAACGCGAATAACATCTCCTGTTGCAGAGGGAGGCTGAACATGGTATCGCACAAAAACAGCGGCCATATATATATATATATTTATGTATAAATAAAAAGCGGGGAGCAGCGTAAGTGTAAGTCTAATTCATGTACATGTACACGTAAGTCACGCCTTGTGACAGGCGCGGGAGATCGATTTTGATAAGAATGGATCATTGTATAAATAATAAACCTAGATGTATTGGACCACCGTGATTCAAGATGGTGCGATTTTTCCTTTTTCCATTTTGCAACGAGGCCGCTTGAACCTTTGTCTTTACCGTGGCCGAAGTACCAAGTTTTATTTTCGAAATTATATTTTCTGTATAATTAATAGCATATCGCTTCGATCAGTACAACGTCGACGACACAAACGGAGAGCATTGTAACTGGTGCTGCTAAAGAAATATTGATATGATAATCTTGTGCGAAAATATCCTTATTTCTTGATTGCAGCAAACTATCGAATGAAAATATAAAGCTACGTGTTTTGAAGTGACGATATCTCTGTGGCGCGAGCCACCGGTAAAGTCACATTGAGAAATTAGTCTCAAAATACAGTTGCAATTCATCGGTGTGCCGCCGACGTTTACGCAGACAAACGTTTATACTCGCGCCGTCTGGGATCCGTCCACGTCGATTGTTTAGAAGATAAGCTAATTAAGTTACTTCTGTGCCAAGACGAGCAAGGAAGCAAACGTTTTGTAATGCCGTAGCAGTTTCCTTGGTTACCGCGAGATGAAGCACACGGTATTCTCCCCGGGAAGATTACTCAGACGCGTTCAAAAGGTTTAGGAGTTACACGTTTATCAATCATTCAACGGATGTTCCGAAAACACTCCGAAAGTAGTTGATCTCGTTTTCTAATGGCCAAATTTAACAATTTGGCATATTGTTTGACGACATGTAATTTATTATTTGATTTCAGTAAAGATCTGTTCCTTTTAGTTATCCTTCCTACCACGTGTATCTTCTTCTCTTCCGTAGAATTTGCGAATACATTTGTTTCACATCGAACACTAGGGCCGGTATTTATAGTCAGATCTTATATTCAAGACTGTCTTACGATCATCTTTAGACGCTACGTAACCAATAAAACGTTTCATACAGCATCTTTAGATAAATTCAAGACGGTCTTGAATATAAGATCTGACTATGAATTCCGGTCTAGAAGTATTTAAAAAAAGGAACTGAAAGGAACAGATCTATGAAACAATACGGAGGCCAGTAAAAATTGTCGTTCGACGATTATCTATCATAGTTTTTCAATAACGTGTTCTATTTTACCGTGCTGGACTTCCCCCGTTTCCTTCATCTCACGGGGGAGGAAGGGGGGTGGGAAGAAATGAGAAACGAGCGTACGCTACATTCCTATTTTGTACGCATTTTTCTAATTAGGCCCGCCGCTCGAGCGCGTTCAGCCCTTTCGCGGAGATACGGCTACCCAATCCCCCGTTCGCATCTGACGTACGTGGATCAAATAATCGAAGGCAAAGTCGCATTTAACGCTGATGGAAAATCAAAGATACGAGCCTGAGAAACGCGAGAACAGCCTGAACAGGCGTCTAAGAGTTGAGATGATAATATCGCCTTCTTCCACGTCTTTACTCTTTACCCTCGAAAATTCGCTCTGTTGACCAGGATATGTAGGCTCGCCAGAGTACTCTTGAAATTTGGATTCAAGAACGCGAAAACCGTGGCAGCGGAGAACTTCAGCAGCCAGTCTAGCTGAACATTCTGATCGTAAGACTCGTGGATCTAGAATGAGATTGGAGATTGATCTTTGTACCTGAGTCTGTGCAAAGATCCCAGAGGAGCACAGAGGATCTGAGAAAACAGAAAAACGGAGAGATTAGATCTTCACACGCGTCTGTCTCAGATGTTTTATGTCGCCAAGTTACAAATGGGGCGTAAAGCGTAAAGAAACGAAAGGGTAAAAAAATGGTTTCACGATATTATACAGGGTGTCCCAGGTTAAACTCATTGGATGTCCAAACGATTGTAATAGGAAAACCTGTGTGTATGATTTAGAAGTTTTTAAAAAGTTGAAGCTATTATAAAATGTTTAAGAAAGCCTTGTGTTATCGTAATAATAGCAATTAAATAATGCTAATTGACTACAGAGATTAATTTTCAATACTGTAAAATCTCAGTGAATTAAGTTTCATTAATTACTGCACAACGTTTCCAAATCGAGTCAGCTTTGGCACTTTCACTCAATGTCAGTGGCATGTTCTCCGGTAAGTTTCTCCTGGAAGGCCCTATCATCGCTTCGCAGGTCTTGGCAAGGATCGGCAGGTCGATTGTACTTAATTGTCGCACAAGAGCCGCACGATCGCGTTTCTTTTTGTAGCCGCGCCGAGGACGACACCGAGCTAGAATGAGGGATTTCGCTTAGAGCCACGGAGGGCCAACTGTTATCGATAGACTACTGTGTATTTCTATGGACGATACTTGTAATACGATTTTAAATGGCTACTCGTAAAATCATCGCGATTGCACTCGTCCCAGAAGGAGTCGCGGGGCGGGGAAAAAAGAGAATGGCAAGAACAGGGGACGAGGAATAGATAGACGAAACAAATTATATATTTTGCCGTGCCAGACGAAAACAAAAGCTGCCGCCGCTAATCGTAGATCAGTTGTAATAACGACTCACTATTGTATCGCGACGAACACCTTAGAGTATGTATCCAAGTAAATTATATATAAAAACTATATAAAACAGCCAGGATGGTTATCCGTTTCGCTTTTCCCCTGCGAGCCTTCCCCACGGACCACACGTAGCCCGATCGATTCATTTCCTATGGAAGTCGCGAGGATATCCTCGGTGGAAATATTTTACTAAAAATATAATGAAAGAGTAAGGCCAAGGTGTGTCCCAATTTTTTTCGCAGTTCATTTTATGGTCATGTTTAGCATCAAATGAAAGATCTCGATGAGCGAATTACAAGTGTATTAATGTCAAAGTACCTCTTTACAGTTTCAGAGAAAAATAGCTTCGAAGATCTCAAATTCAATAGAGCTACGGACAAGTCAATTAAAAAACTACGTGCAAAGTATAAACCCTTCACTTTATTTGTTTTTAGTTACTCCTATTAATGTTAATTAAAATATGTTACACAGTTTTTCGTCTGGAAGAGTGTGCAAATGGTTGTGGCCGTAAACCAAATAATGCACGTGGCTGCAATGGCCGACCGTTTTTCTCTGGAACGGTAAGCAGATACACTTAAAATATTGATATATTTGTAATCCGCTCGCGTCAAGAACTTTCATTCGCTACCAAACATGAGCACAAAACCAACTGCGACAAAATTTAAATATATTGGCTACGGCCACTTGGCCGCACTCTTTTGTTGAAATGCACTTGAAAATCTCTCAATTGACTGAGTTGTTTATTATCAATATTTCAGTAAAAATTCAATGAAAAATTATTTTTATTAAAACGCAATTTTTAATTAACTTCAGTAAACATAATATTTAATATGCAATAATTTTTTCTTTTCAACTATAATTTTTAACTTTCCTTATATTTTATTACAGTGAATTTTATAAGGAAAATTATTCATTTTTAGATATTTAGTAATATTTCAATAATTCATTTCAACTTTTCATAAATTTCAGCACTTTCAGCAAAATACACTACTCAACAAAATTAAAGGATTACTTAAAATGAGTGCAAAAAGAAGTCAAATTTGAACTCGCATATCTTTGCCAAAAAACGGATAAGTAAAACAATATTAAAAAAAGCGATGAAAAAATTTCATTTTCGTGCGCACAACTTTAATTGAGTTAATTTTTGCTTGAACTTTTAATGCACATAAATTTAATTTATGCGCCATTTACTTTAAATTTAACTTATACAATTAGTTAGAAAAACTATCTTACTCAACTCTGGATTATAATATTTTAATAAAATAATATCTCATCGTAATAATTTTCCATATTATAGCAAAGTTGTTAACGAACATTAAAGTAAGATTGGCTCTATAAGATAAGTCGCTCAAGATTTTAAAAAATACAAAGAAGTAGACATTCAATAATTTCGTTAGGCTTGGTATTATAATTTTCTTTATAAAATAATGCATCTGTAATAATTTTTCAACTTTCCGCTGTGAATAGTAGTTGTTATTAAAGTAAGATTGATTAAGTCACTTAAAACAAGATTTAAGAAAATGCGAAGAGACAGTAGTTTTACAATCAGTTTGATATCATAGTTTATTGTCGAAATAAAACTTCTTGTTGATTCAACTGGCAATATAATTAATTAAATGTTGCATCATAGTTTATTGTTTTTGTACCATTATTGTAACTCTTTAAAAAGCAATAGTGCTACTGAATCCATAATAAACATCTCAACCAGTATCTCATATTAATATTAATCGCATCCTTGTTGGTTGATAAAGTTGGACTTTCTCTTAAGCAGGACTGTGTCTGAAATATCACGAGACACGGTAGTGTCTCGCGCCAAGTATAAGCGACTAAGTATATTCATTGACAGCGAGAGTCGAAGAGGAGAGGGGGAGAAGAGTCAAGACCTCCGGGCTGATTCCGCGCCGGAGAAGGTCTGCATTCTAGGAATTCCTTCTTCCGGCCTGCTTTTACTATGTCTCAACGTCGCGTCGATACGGTGGAAACCGTGTTGAGAAACAGCGTGTGTAATGGAAAATGAGGAACGCCTGGGTACTAAATATATTTATTTTCACGCATGTGTGATCACACGATACACACACACACACATACGACGAAATTCTTTGCCTTCGTGATTAGCTTCATTTTTACGTCACGTTCCTTACGTCCGACCCCGCAAACTGTTGGTATGTTCACGAGGACGAATAAACACGCAAGCGAATTGCACACCGCAAAATCACAAACACAGAGAGCCAGATGGACCTTTTCAGACGTTGCCTTTCTATATTAGATCCGAACGGATATGAATACAATGAATATTCTGAAAATCGATTAAAACCTCGATAAGGTAGAGATTTTAATTTAATATCAAAATTTCAAGTGAAATTATCTGAGATCAAAGCGACGAAGGTTGACTCCTTTATAAAATTCCAATAAGCTCGATCGTATCTGCGCTCAACAGCAAAATTAAAGGTCTGCTGAAAAATTGTCGATCTTTGAACTGTTATGACTGTGAAGACAAAATCATAACAATCTCCCTGGAATTATTTAAAAAGAAAAAACGAAACCTTTGCTTTCACTTTCATAAATTAATTTTTCTCGAAGTTGCTTTTATACTAGGAAGTGAAGTCGGAAATTTACAAGAAAGATTTAAACCTCGAAAAATGTTATGTATTAACATCTGTTTTGTTAGCATTAAATTATTGATTTCTCATTGTTTCGCATGAACGAAGAGAACGAGATTGGATCGATCATCGAGGGTGAGAGAGATCGTGTAATTAGAAATATGCTTCGAGCAATTCTGTACTTCTGATACTGACAATCTACACAAAAGAAAAGCTACGAGAAGCCAAATATGAATGACAATAGACTTCAGGCGAAATTAGATATTTGTCTTAACCCTTGATTTGCACTTGAAATTCTCTGAATATACTTGGCTTCTCGTAGATGTTTTTTCCGTAGATTTTACGAACTTGTTGTCAAGAGTTGGATTCGCTTATCGTGATAAAGAAGATTATACAGCGGGCGAATATGTTTTCGTTTGCATATGTATTATTGTTCATTTATACATTCATATACGCCTAATAGCACTCTACCTTCTGTTACGCGCAATTCACCATTAAATACGATTTAATACTTCGCTCCTCGTAGCCGTGCGTAATACTTTCTTAAAACGTGATAGGCATACAATCAGTTGTCGGTCCGAGAGAGGAAGAAGAAAGACGATACTAAAGAAAGTTTGCTAGCGAGAAACAAACTAGAGAAATGCGCGAACTTGGAACTGCTTGAATTTTAGGAAATGGGGGGAGAAAAATACCCCAGCGTAGCCAGACACGTCGAATTAATAATCACGCATTTATGAATGAATTACCACTTGGACGTCACAAGTAACTTTTATCCTGCGCGATATACACGGTTGTATCGGCGAGATGATAAAAGCAAAAGCAGTTTAACGCACGTTAAAATGCTTCCTTTGCATGCTTCCATCCCCCCCTACTTATTATAGGAAATAGAACAGTTATGGGAGAAAGATCGTCGAGAAAAAAGGAAAAAAGAGCCGCAAGTTCGTCGTTAAAAGCACAGTTTCTTTCGCCACTGGGAATTGCATCACCCGAGACGCGGTTTTTACATTGCCGAGAGCCAACGTTCACGGTCACTTCCTGATGGTCGCGCGCGTGTACGGGCAAAATATTTTTACTCGTCGCAAATATTCCCCGGTCCCAAGAATCGCGTTATGAAAAGAAAGAAATCAACATATCGCGAACAACATTTTGCGTCATACACGGCATTGTTCTCGGCGGGGGCTTGAAATAATATATACGGCGACTTTGTCGTATATTATTTCGTCGCAATCCCGTGGCCCGCAACCCCGTGACTAATCTAATCTATCGCAGGAACGGGACCGATCTAAACAACATGCCTAAAAGATGTCTTAAAAATTATCATGACATTTACCAAGAAACATCTTAAAAATATCTTCAAGACTTTCTGAAAAGATGTCCGAAAGTCGTCCTTTTGTAAAACATTTTTTGCAACATATCCCAGACAGCACAGATCTCCTGAAGACGTTTTAAAGACATCTTCTGGACGTCCTTATGTCCTAAGAATGTTCCCAGGACATCCATAGGATATCGTGTGCTGTTGGGGATAATTCGCGCCAGCAACTGTAACATTATAAAATATGCCTATATGTATAATGTTTTCGTTCTCTGTTCATATATGTATACACTCACCCACAAAGAACAGATCAGCGAAACTTTGGTATAATTTTTTGACATTTTTTAATAGCAATAACTCAGCAAAAAAATTATCATATTGAGATCGAACAGAGCTCAAAGTAAGGATTAAACAAATTCGTCTTAACAACCAAAAACAAAACTGAGTTATAAAAAATATTTTACAGACTAATAAATGTTGAAGATGGACTTTGAGAAATAGGAAAAAAATTTTGGTAAATATTTACTTTTCTGCCCCAAATGATTTCCAACTGGATTCTCACCTTGATAGAAAAGCAGAAAAGCGGAACCCAGCCAGAAATAACTCGTCGATCGACGTCGATTCGACAGCGTTTCGATCGGTGAGTAATTTCTGACTGGGAAGCCAATCGGAACTCGCGTTGATAGTCGACAGTTGTACCATAGTATAACTGGTAGGTCCACTCCGTTATTTGTTTCTTTTTGCGTCGATCTCTTCTGCGTGTCCCAGTATTGTTCTGGGCAGATCAATGAGAGAAAAGTGTATGTGTGGTAGTGCGTGTCTTTGATGGATGCGTATAGTTATGACCTTTCCCCTCGTTCATTGTATATCAAAAAGTTATAAAGAATTACATGTATTGAAAACAATCTTAATTTCTTTCATTTCTGCATGCAGATATATTTGTTGTGGTATTATTTGTACGATTCCACATGGGCTTGTGACTTTCCACACGAGGTGAGATCCACTCCATAGCGAATCCCGCTTTCGGGGCCAAACTACTTCCATTGTTCGTATGGTTCTACGCGGGTTTGCCACGCGAGGCAAGATTTACTTACACGGTGTCAACGAAACCTGTATTAATTTTATTCATACCTGTTTTGTTGATAACTTTTTAATAATCAATGAGCGACGGGAAAAGTCAATGGCCTTAACTTTCTTAAGCCCGGTGTTTCATTTTCTGGTTAACTGTTAGCCAGAAGTTAGTCGACTCTCTATCTTTTTCTATGTTAGTATCTTAAGAAATGACAGAGAATCGACTAACCTCCAGGTAACAGTTAACCAGAAAATAAAAAAACCAGACCTTAGGAGTCAAAGTTGATTGGAAGAAATTTGGGACGGGCTGTGTAAAGGTAAATATTCATCAATTTTTTTTTAACTAATGCATTACTCAGGAGAGTCGGTTTCCTAGTGCAGAAACGTATGAGATTTTTAAGTACACTTATTTCCTAAAAAAATTCACATTTTAAGTATTTTTCTATGACCCATTTTGATACTGTTACGTTTTGAAGAAACTGATGATCCTGGATAACACCAAGAATAAGTTACACGCATGCATATATGAATACACACGTATTCAAACGACATTTAAATTTAAACGTGTTCCTGCATGTGAGCCCCTTGAGTCGAGTAATTTATGCAGATAATGACAGAGATTATTTTAAATGATGTGAGATTTTAAAAACTAACACTTAAAAGCTACACGTTTTAAATCAGGAAGCCGACTCTCTTGAGCAATGCAACAGTTGAAAAATGTTTTTCCTCATTTCTCAAAGTCTCTCTTCAATATCCGTTATTTTGTAAAATAGTTTTATTTCAAATTTAAACTTAATTACTATTAACACTCTATGCCTAAGTGTTTTATAAATGGATAGTTATCATGCATGTATTTTACATATGTATATTTTGTTATTTTGACCTCTCATTAATTTTATAATATTTAGAATCACCTTCTTTTAATATTTCAATTATCATATTAATTGATTGTTTATAAGTGGTCGACAAATCCTTCATAATTAGCTTTCTTGTTTTATTTATTAATCGATTAATGTGCCGAAGGCTTATTGTTAGTAAGAAACGTACACACATTACTGCTGTATCTACGTACATACATGTATAATAATAAATTATTGAATAATGTTTGTAATTACCTATTAAATATTACTCGTTTTTAACCTTCGACTTTCTTTTATCTGTTTTTAACATTTTACAAGCTGGTTGTTTTGCCTGTTTCAATTAAGAAATATCTATGATCTGTATAAGTCACAAATTTTACATAATAGATTGTATGGTAATTATTAATCACAAACGACACAATAAGTTCTTTTCGAGGGCCTAAATAAAGTTTTAACAACATACTTCATTTTGATTTCAATAAAACTTTCCCAAGAAATCACATATTGTAGTTATAATATATCAAAGTACATAAAAATAATAATCCTTTTTTGCAAATTTAACCGCAAGTTTTTCAAAATTGTGACGTGATAGAGCAATTTAGTAAACGTGATTATATTTAGTGTCCACAAAAACGATTATCCTCGTTCTTGTACTTTTTTGTTGAACACTGTAGTGTTGAAATAACGTGTTATTTTGACTTTTGAACGCTTATAGCTGCTGAGCGGTACGTTGCACAGTCCATTGTGCTGTAATCTTGCCCATTGCGATTAGCATTACATAAATTATTTATTTTCAAAGTTTCATCCAGTTTCCATAAGAATCGTTTCCAATATAGTTCGAACAATGTTACAGTAACATTTTTGAAATATTATGAACAACTTTGTGAACCACTCTGCACAGCTATATATTCCATGTTACTTTTTGTTTTTCTGAATATCTCAAAAATATGAAGCAAATAAAAAGTATTTTAAACAAAAAATATTCAAGTTAATTAGTAAAAAAATAATACGGTGAAAATGAGATGTTCTATTTAAAAAGACGAAGTTGACCTTGAAATTTTTTACCACTTTTAACACTCTGTACGGTAATATATTCCTTATTACTTTTCGTTTTCTTGGATATCTCAAAACTATGAAGCAGATAAAAATATTTTAAACAAAAATATTCAAATTAATTTGTAAAAAAAGATAATACGATGGAAATGAGATGTTCCTTTAAAAAAACAAAGTTAACCTTTAAATGTTTTAAGCGTCTGTACTTATAAAAAAAATGTGCACAACATATAAATTACAAATTTTTCAAAGTGTGCAAGTTAAATGCCTCGCACTGTATATTGACATTGCTTATGACTGCAAACAAAGTAATTATGTTTTATAATTTTCACAGCAAACTTCAAGTGCTTTTTTCACACAGTTTTCCTTCAACCATCAACAATTTAAACAAGTTGTCTATTCAATTTTTTTAAATTTTAAAGGTGCAAATTGGAAATTTGCACATTGCTTCCTCAACATCTGGACTTTTTTTTTATTTTAAAGGTTCAAATTTTAAATTTGCAAAACGCAGCATCAGCATTTTTTGGATTAAGATATTTTTCTTATCAGTGTAGTGAAATATAATACAATTAAGAATTCAAACGACATAGGCTGGCAAATCTTTCATTTTAATAAAATAAAATTACAACGTTTCGACCAGTAATGCCCCATACAGCACCGAAGCTTTCAGAAACATTTCAGAAACATTGCAACATTGCAACAATGTTTTCTGAAATGTTTCTGAAAGCTTTGGTGCTGCATGGGACTAGTCCTTTTCAAGTATATCTTACGTTACACCTATCAATTGTTACAGCAAAAGATCTACAAACATATACGGCGACAATTAATTACGATAAATTAGAGATAAATATATAAGAATGGTCTATGGAATATTGCGAAGTATTCTTGAAGAATATTCTTAAAATGTTCACAGGAGTGTCTCGTGCTATCCGGGTAGTTCCGTCCTGTTGTTTTCGAAAAAGTCTTAAATAGTTATCTTATCTTATTTTACTGAATAATACTGAATAATCGGTACCTTAAGTATTAAAGTTGCGAGTGTTTCCGAATTCGGGTTGAAAGATCGGAAGAGGTTGATAGGAGAAACCATTTTTCTACAAAATATTCCTCGATCGCTCCAGGCAGGACATCGTTGCACGGTAGGAGAGCTGCGCAACGACAACACAACGATAACGACTGTCATTAAAAGTTACACAGGATATACCTGGCAGTCCGCAAGAGCCATTACGATCGCACAAACTTGCGAAAATTCTCCGCGTAAAATTGTCCGCTGTCGTAACGGCCCCGTTTGACTATCGTGCACACAGAAAAATATTATTGTACAGTCAAGAAAAGTAATTACTCAGTTTATTTTATTCCGTTTAAGTAATAGTTTGCTTCAACAAAGAATACTTTCTTAATTTAATAGTTTTAAGATACTTGTTACTAGTCTTAGAAAAGCTTACCATCTTATACTAAAAAAAAAGAACTTATTCTTCTTTGAAGAAAATTATAAAAATTATTGAAGAATTCCGTATGTTTCTTTTAATAAAATCAGAAGAAACAAAATTGTTTTGCTTCAAATAATTCTATGTATTCTTGTTTCAAGTACTAGACTTACTAAGAACCAGAATATGTTTTGAGTAAATATAACAGCGACGACATTATGATAGATTTGCGGATATATAAACTTATCAAATACTTGGAACACAAATAATATTTACTTGCAGGTAGTATATATTTTTCTGTGTGTGAGGTTTGTTTCCTGTTTCCTACACTGGCGAACTGGTGCAATAAATTAGAGTCCGAAACAGCACCAAGTCGACTATTAGTTGACTGTCAGTCGGCAGCAGAAGTTTAAAATCGACTTCAAAGTCAAGCTGAATGTCAACTTATAGTCAACTAATAGTCGACAAATGACAAATGACTATAGTCGGCTGTCAGTCAGCCAAAAGTCGACTTAGAAGTAGACTTTATGGCAATTAAAAGTCGACTTTATGATGATTAGAAGTCTACTTTATGGCGATCAGAAGTCTACTTTATGGCAATTAGAAGTCAACTTTTAGTCAATTTTACGTTATTTATATTAACTACTAAATGTTTAATAGTGACATCTTGAAAACCTGATTGATTAAAGTTTTTATATTAAATTTGTATTAAAATTGTATTAAAATATTCATCAAGTCTTTGAAAATGCTCCAATTAAACTTAAATAATAATTATAATGAGCATATGTTTTAATAAAAAACAGACAATAAACCAGAGTATATATTATATTATTTAATTATGCTTTTATTTTTTTGACAAATTTGACAGGTTTCCTTGATTAACTTGTATTAATCGACACATTATGTAAATCGTATTAATTCGGTAGCCACGCGAAAAATATGACTCGTCTTATGTCCAAATACGATTGTCGTGAAATATCGCGCTACACGCGGAAAGTAAGTCGTCGATTCGCTATATATCGGTTCGACATATTGACCAGAAAGATTGGCCAAAAAAATATTTTTTTTACGCATTTTTGCACTTTGCCGAAAAAAATAAGAAAAAAGATGACGAAAAGATTTTTATGTCTTTCGGTAAGACGAAAAAATATTTTTTAGTTAATTTTTCGCTTTACCGAAAGGTGACTTTAAACTTCCTGAAAATGTCGACTTTAGGTCGACTTTCAGTCTATAGTTAAAGTCGATAATAAACCATCTTATAGATTATAGTAGACTAAATGTCCACTTCAAAAGTTGACTTCAAGGTGACTAAAAAGTGTCGACTATCAGCCGGCAAACAGTCATTTGTGCTATGTGGGATGCGACAAGCATATTTTTGCCACGTTCTAGCTTACCGCCCTAGTTGATCCAGTGCAGGCACAGAAAACAAATAATAGAATACGGCTCCGACGAATAACAATCAATGAATAAAAGGGCTAAGAGCCTCGACAAGATGTTGGTGTCACAATTATAAAATTCTCATATATCTAAAACATAAAAATACAAACGTTTCGGCCTTTCTCTAGGCCATCTTCAGTGTATAAAATAAATAGAGTATAAAATATAATTTAGATATAAAGTCAAAGGATAAAAATATAAAAAGATAAAGATCGCTCGCAACGCAGGATTCCGCGATCCACCATCGGTTCGCGAGTTTCGCCATCAGCGTCGCTAGAGAACCTTTGTCTCCCTGCCCTCCGTCGCCGCGGCGAGCGGCGGCGCGATTATAATATCGCGCGCGCGAACGCCGCGTGCGCATTCGCTCGCGAGAGCTCAGCTGTGTGCGCCGTCTTCGCCGACGTTGCGTGCGACCACGTGAAGCGCAGCAGACGAATCGAACGGGCGAGCGAGCGAGCGTACCGCTGACCGGCCGACTAACGGAACGTAGGTGCGTCGCGCAAGGCTGCGAAGCACGCAATCGAAAGCGACGCGACGACCGGGATTTTCACCGAGCCGAGCGGAGTTTCACTTCTAACCTGAATTCGGCGGGGACGAGCGCCGAGTAAGCGGGTGTGTATGTGTACATGTATGTTTGTCCCAGCGACCCGTCTCGGTTTGTGTCGAACGATTTGTCATTGTTATTGTCGATCGCTATCATTGTCGGCGAACGTAACACGGAAGTCTTTACGCTTGCCAGCGATATCGCGGTACGCACGTCGCGTGCGCGGCTGCCCGTATTGTGGTGAGTTCAATAGGGTCAGGTACTCGCGCGTCGCGCGAGAAAAGCGCAGCGATTAATCAGAATCAATCAACAGGCACAACCGTCGCCAGGGTGGTCGCGTCTGACCCTGCTGCGTAAAGCAAAAGACAGAGAAAGCGCCATCGGCTTTACGAGAACACGCTCGCTGCACGACTCGCCAAAATGTGGCCGAAGGACGTCGGTATCCGGGCCCTGGAAGTCTACTTCCCGGCGCAGTACGTGGACCAGAAGGAGCTGGAGGTACACGACGGCGTGTCGGCTGGCAAGTACACGATAGGCCTGGGCCAGTCGCGAATGGGCTTCTGCAATGACCGCGAGGACATAAACTCGTTGTGCCTGACCGTCACGCACCGGCTGCTGGAGCGCTACAATATCAAGCCGCGGGACATCGGTAGACTGGAGGTCGGCACCGAGACCATTCTCGATAAGAGCAAGTCCGTGAAAACCCTGCTGATGCAGCTGTTCGAGCCGCACGGCTGCACCGACATCGAGGGTGCGGATACCACCAATGCGTGCTACGGCGGCACCGCCGCGCTCTTCAACTCCATTGGGTGGGTGGAGAGCAGCGCCTGGGACGGCAGATTCGCCTTGGTCGTTGCGGCCGATAACGCGGTGTATTCCACGGGTAGCGCCAGGCCCACCGGCGGCGCGGGCGCGATCGCCATCCTGGTGGGCCCAGACGCGCCCCTTGTATTTGACCGCGGCCTCCGTGCGTCCTACATGAGTCACTCTTACGACTTCTACAAGCCGAATCTGCGCTCCGAGTATCCCATCGTGGACGGTAAGCTGTCCATCCACTGCTACCTCAAGTCGCTGGACAGCTGCTACCAACTCTATTGCGAGAAGGTCAGGAGAAAGAGCCCCGGCGAGAGCCCCGTGACACTGGCCAACTTTGACGCGATGCTCTTCCACTCGCCATATTGTAAGCTCGTGCAAAAGTCCTTCGCCAGGCTGGCCTTCGTCGATTTCCTCAACGCGCCGAAAAATCAGATCCCCGACGGTTACAAAGACGCGGTCAAGTTCCGCACCGCCAAGCTCGAGGACACTTACTTCAACCAGGAGATCGAGAAAGCCTTTATGCAGTTGAGCAAAGTCGATTTCGAGCAAAAGACCAAGCCCAGTCTGCTGATAGCGAATCAAGTTGGAAACATGTACACGCCGTCAGTGTACTCTGGTTTAGTATCGTTACTTGTATCCAAGCCGATAAACGAGTTAGCGGGCACCAAGATCGGCATATTTTCCTACGGCTCGGGCTTGTGCTCCAGCATGTACTCGTTGACGGTAGCTAAGGACACGCGAGAGGGTTCGGCCCTGTCGCAAATTATTACCGCTCTTTCCTACGTCAAGTCGCAATTAGAGGGACGTCACTGCGTCTCGCCGGAGGACTACACCAGTGTGCTGGCTGCGAGGGAACGAAACTGCCACGTTGTGCCATTCACTCCGGAAAGTAGTACAGACAACATGTTCCCGGGCACATATTACTTAACGCAGGTGGATGAAAAATATAGGAGGACTTACAAGAGAATATGAAGCCAACATGTTAGACTTCAAGGTTTAGAATTATTTATAGTTAATTTTATTGTATAAAGATACACACACACACACACATATATATATATAGAAAATAAAAGGTTCGAGGTTTTGCTTGATTATAAATTTTTATTAACAATTATATATAATTATTTAGTAACACACGGGCATAGACACGCAAAATATTTTATGTGGGCCGAGGTGTTTTCATATCAAGAATTTATCCTGCAATAAGTCTTCCTTAATGATTTCTCATTTCGTTATACGTTAATATATTGTTTTTTAAATGTAATTTTTTTGAATATGATTCTGAAATGTAACGATAACAACAACAAATTAATCATGTAATTCTTTAAACAATAACGAAAGATTTGTACGTTACATTGCATAGCGAGTATATCAGGTATAAATAAAAATCTCAGGCAATTTTGTGCGAAGTCAGAACAGAAACTACTTTGATAGAACAACTATTTATGCCGCTAGCTTCTGCGTTAATTAATACAATAAATTACAACTATTTTGCAACGTCATTTTCTCCTTACATCGTCAATTACAAATGCTTTCAAATATATCTAATAATTCACCGGAGTTGAACTATTATTGTTATAGCTCGTTAATATTTGTATGAATTTAATGATGGTGATATTTGCATCGATGTAGAAATAGCATTAAAAGTGCCTTAAGTACGTAAGACTGTTTTTATACGACAGGAACTAAGTGTAGAAAATTTGTATACATTTATACAGTCTATCCAAGTGCTTTAATACGCGCGATAGGAATAAATTAAATAACGTACAAGTTAACAACAGATACCCTATTTAATTTCAAATTAATTTTTGTGAATTAAAGGTCGGTTTTAGACCGTCTGTAACATATTTGAATTTTGTTATATCAACTGGAATTGTCTTCACTACCTCGCTTCATCTTTTCTTAATATATTTGTTACATCTGCAATGTTATTTCATAATGCAATAAAAATAAGTAAATATTATCAACCAGCATTTTGTGAACCTTTAATGTTATTTGCATTGTACATATGCTACCCATGTATAGCACATTTGTTCATGACGAAATAAACAATTGTTTGAATAATTATACAATACTGCGTAGCCGCGTAATAGTACTTACGTATGAATGAATATTTATATAAACAAATCGACTCTAGTCACAAAAATTCATCTATGAAAAGGCGATTATAGTCTTTTTGCAGTTCCTGTAATAAATTTTTTAACGTGTTCATTAGATTATTTCAATATAAATCACCTTAATTTATACTGACGCAAAGCCGAAACAGTTTTCTATGTGCGTGCTTGAGATATGTAATAAGTAATTTTTATTATCGTTTGGTATCTCAACAATCAAATATATTGAAACTCGATACATGAGCTCGTCATTAACTAACAAAATCATCACGCTACGTACCACGTATTTTAGTTGAAAGATGTTTTTCAACTATCTACATGTATATGTATACATACATATACATATAGGATTTAAAAAGGGACTTTAAGAGGGCAGATGGTACTCGTGAAATGGAGCAAGAAAATTCCAATAAACATAAATTGAAAAATTCATCTTTTCGGTATTATAAACAATTCCTTATTTTAGTTAAAGTAAATTCCAGAAGAAGAAGAAAAGAATTCTTTTCTTTTTTTTATTTAAAAGAAAACTAGATTTTTTAACTTGTTTATAAAAGATTTTCTACATGTCCACCTCTCATTTACACACATCTTTCGTACTACAGAATTGCAAACCATTTCAAAACTCCCGGCTGTTTATAATTTCGAAATTATTAATTTCTCGATCTATTTACACGAGTACTATATGCTCTCTTAAGTCCTGAACCTTTTTTAACACCCTATATAGTACACAAGTATTTTTAATTTGTATGGTACAGTTACTTGCAAAATCAATCAAATTTTTAAAAAATCTTACAAGTTTTTTCATTACGAGAAGAACATGAAGTTAATAAAACAGCAATTTTTGTTAATATTTGTACATGTATACGTATATGTAGATAAAAAATGTATTAACAATAAGCTTCTAAATAATTAGACCGGCATTCATAGCCAGATCTTATATGCAGGACCGTCTTAAAATCATCTTTAGACACTCCATAGCCAATAAAATGTTCCATGCAGCATCTTTAGATAAATTCAAGACAGTCTTGAATATAAGATCTGGCAATAAATACCGGCCTTAATTTCGAAACATTTGATCAATTTTATGAGACAGTATTACCTTGTATATTCGGCACGTTGCAGTATTCAAAGTGCCATGTAAATTCATGTTTCACACAACATCCTTTTTTTGTACAGTTCAGATAGGTCGTATATAATTAGATTTATTCATTAATAACGAAACTGGCAATGGCAGCCAATATCTATTTTTTAATACTTTTCACTCGGAAATATATGTTTTCGAAAAGTGCACCGAGATGCGTTTGTAAATTTGTCAAGATCTTGATTCGCGATGAACACATTTTAACTGTATGCACAAGGTGTTTACGTATCGATGCTTTTATCAAAAATATAATTCGCACTCGAATATTTGGAGAACAATACACGCTTACATGCAACATAAGTATAAAAAAATATATTACAATTTATATATAACGAGTAATAGAGATTCGTTATATCTATTTGTTCATAAATAACATGCGTTTGCTTAAATGAAACGCGCTCTACAAATCTACTCATTCCCATTGTACTTTTAACACTAAATGCAGTTGTCTGAATTGTGTTCTTAAAATTTAACAAAGACTAAGAATCAGACACTCGCTTTTAGTGGACAATGCACATTAAGAACATGATTGTGGATTAGTATTTACAGCTTCTAGGTGGGTGCTTGGCGAGGCCAAACACTTCACATTCGCCGTAACAACATTCGTACAAATAAATAAAATAAATTAAAAAAAACATTAAGTTACCACTCACAATTCGAATCCTTTGTAAACTACTTGATTACGCGGATGTCCATGCGTTTGAGTTGAAAACGTGTGACATTTTAAGGCACTAGAATACTCTCTTCAGGTCGCTGCAGTTTCGTGGAGTGTCAATGCGTGTATGTACGCATGCATAAGTGTATATGTGTGTGTGTATATATACGTACACATATGTGCGTTTTTATTAAATCGTGTATAAAAATATACAAATGTTCCTCTTCCTAAAACAGTGAACTTTTGGAACAGAAATGAGCCACCCTATCTTAACGATTAGATCTTTTATCATGAGATTCATATTTCTCGAAATTCGAATAACGGATGCCGTTCCATTCTGTACGGATGGAAAAATAATATCTTGAATTTGGCACCTAAATACCTTCCTACTGTACTGATATTGCAGAATCACGCCGTCGGCACATATTGTTCGCGCATTTTGAAGATATCAATTTGTACCGCACTACACTAAGATTAAAAGGCAGTGAGATTTTTGTAAAAAGTTAATACACTACCATGCTTTAAATAAATCCTTTGCATCGCGTATCAATTTCTAACTCTTCGATTACCACCTTAAGAACAATAAAATCTTCAAAAGGGTGGACTTAGGATACAGAAGAAATTACACGCGATACCACGTTCGTTGACTGCCTTTTATCTTATCGCTGGACACTCAGAAAATTTCGGTTATCCGAAAATAGCGTACCGAAGAAAAAAATATCAAACGATTTACGATATCTTAAACGAGCAGCCCGAACAAGAAGATAAATCTCGACCGACGCCGAGCTTCACCACTTCATCCTCGCTCGCGCTAATCTGGCGATTATCATGTCGTCTCTAAAAACAAATAGCAGTGCGTTCTCAATTTTTCAAATTATACAAGAAATTCCGTGTACTAAAAAAAAATGGGTATACCTTAAGTTCCGACGCCAAATAGAAAAAGACGGAATCTATGTTTGTGTTATCTTTGGCTGAGGTCTCCACTACGTGCAAAACTTCAGGCAGGTATTGGCATAAAGCTTCAGCCTCTACTTCCTTTACCTCGCGCAAATCTTCCAAGTCACATTTATTACCTGCGAAGCGAGAAGCGTCCAGAAATTGAATAACAATTACGCAGTGTATTATCACTACGGTAATGTACATATAATTGTTACAATGTAAATATGTATATAGAATGATCGTACCAACTAATACCAGTAACACATGTGACGATGAGTACCTCCGGACTTCCTCCACCCAACGTTGTAAGCTCAGGAATGTCGAACGCTTCGTGATATCGTAAACTAAAATAATCGTGCGTCACTCATTAGAACGATGTAATTTTTCAGGACAAAAAGTACAAAGTGAACGAAAGCTACAATTCTATCCCTGGACAGGAAAACATTATAATTTCTTTTCCTTTTTTTTTCTTAAACTAATGACCTAATAAAAATACACGGAATGTACAATACTTCGATTTCACTTCTTTTTCAATTTAACTTTTTGTTCTCTTTAATAAATATTTAATTCTTTCGCTTAGTATTATTTACAAAACAATCTTTCATAAAAATACTACAAAATATACTTGGCATTTCTTTTTAATTAATACAATCATCAGTTTGGTGGATCACGTAATTCTGCTGTCCGACAACCAGTTCCACAATTGCAATATCCAGCGCTTTAAAAATGTTGAACAACTGTTTCCCCAACACATATAATTGTGAAACGGATCGAAAGAAAATTGAAACAACTCCAACAATATACAAACTTGCACAATAAGATACTTTTTAAGACGATTTTAAACCAATTCTTAAATTACAAGTTATTCTTTAAATTAATAATACAATATCTGTTAATCGAAAAACTATGTTATACAGCTGATGTAGTTACGTACCTACAATTACCCCATTTGCAGATCTATAGTAACTCTGAGTTATTGTTCGAAATCTTTCCTGCCCTGCAGTATCCCATATTTGGAGCTGTCAATGATAAGAAAGCATCAATAATTATTATGAATTTGAGTATCACTAACGATTAAGTGTTTTTCAAGCAGGAGCAAATTTATTGGCGCAGTTTCGAACACTTTGTGAAATTACTTTGAAAAATAAAAACAGTTTTTCCAAATCGACGAACCTGGATGAAATAAAAGTCCTCTTATAAATACCTCGGAAAGCAAGAGTGTTACTTTTATATGGACTCGAATCAAATATCTTCGACTTTTTTACATGGAGTACTTTACTAATTTTACGTTCATTCAAATCAAAACGTTTATATAAAGCAATTATTGTAGTACATAATTTTTTTATAATTACAAAATATCAGATATTAGTACACAAACGTTAGATCAATCGTTGAAAATAAACGTAACAGATGATTAAATTGTGAATAGAAGTTACACGCTCAAAATCTCTATACAGTATTACATTTATACAATTATTACTTTTATTACATTTTTTAAACTAACAACTTTATACTTTGACATGAAGAATTATTTGACGCCAGTACATGATTAACCAATGTAGAGAAATTGCTAAACGACGCAACTGGTAAATTCTATATATATTCTAATAATAATTAGAGAAACTCATTGCGAAAACTATTACCTCGGCCAGGGTTTGAACCTGGCCTCAGTGGTCGAATTGGTGAGACGCTCGCCTAGAGTGTAGGGAAGTCCAGGTTCAAACCCTGGCTGAGGTAATATTTTTCGCAATGAATTCTTCTAATTAGAATTCGCCAGTTGCGTCGTTTAGCAATTTTTCTACATTGGTTTATGCTTTGAATATTAAAACTCGAGAGCTGCCTGACAAGTGAAAGGTTTGAATACTGGTCTAGTCCTCGCACATTCCCAGTCAGCAAACGACAAAGTTTGCTACCAATCTAACGACAAGTTATGTCAGCAGACTCTACTAGGTTTTTGCCATCAATCTGCCGTCAGTTATATTAGCAAGCACTGCTCGATTTCTATCTATTGTTCAGTTATGTGAGCAGATTTTGCTGTATTTCTGCCGACATGCTGGCAACATTATCGAATATGTTAGTTTCTGTATGCAATCTGCTGTCTTTCTGCCTTCAAAATTTGTAGCAGGCATTTGACGAAATCTGTTGACAGATTCGGCCGCCTGGGTTACTTTTCTTGTCCAAAAATCATTATGCAACACATCTTAGCGCCCACTCCCTCAAGGATACACCTCTATTTGTTATCACGGGCGTTGTTAGTTAATTCTTCGTGAATCAAGAATCAATTTTCACGCTAGCTTTCGCGTTTCACTGCCTTTCCCTCTTTTATTTTTTTTCTCTCGCCGAACGGCGTAGCTGAAACGACCGGGGCATAGGTTAAGATCGAGGCTGGATATCGACGCGAACGTATATCCCCGGGGTATGGCGCACCTTGACCCGCTTGCCGTCTATGAGCACGGTCTTCATGGTGAAGTCGACGCCGATGGTGTTGCCGTGGCGCTCGACGAACGTGCCGGACCTGAAGCGCTGCACCACGCAGGTTTTGCCCGTGCCGCAGTCGCCGATCAGCACGATCTTGAACAGGTAGTCGAAGCTCTCGTCGTCGCTCATCATCAGGTTGTCCGGGTCGCGACCCGCCATTCTCACGCAGACACGCGGCCGAACGCGACGGCGACGGTGACGGTCACGGTGGACTTCGACCGCTTCGTGGACGACTACGCCATCGCCGTGTCCACGGGCCTCTTCCCTCATCCAATTGCGTCCATTTCGGTCCAGCTTACCGCCCCGCTGCGACTCGTATCAGCGGCGAATCGCGACACCGCTGACTCCCTTGCCCCCCCCCCCTCTTTCTTGTCTTCTTGCTCCTCTCTTCGGTTCCCTCTCCTTCGCGAGGTTGCGCGTTTATCGGGTGAGAATGTATCTTCTTTCTTTCTCATTAGGCCTTGTTTTTGTGTTACTTTGATATTAAAATAAGTAAGAATGAGGGAATATAAAAATACAAGTAATTTATTAATAATTAAGTAATTTTTTTTCAATTTGGAGGATAAAAAATTTCAATTCTAATTTAAAGTAGTTCAAGTTTATTCAACAGACAACTATATTTTATCTTCACATAATAAAGCTAATTAAATGATATCGTCGACTCTAATTTCCTATGGCAACTTTCGTTTGAATATCTTGAAAATTAATTAATGAAAATATGCGTCAGCACATCCTTTTATTAATAATTCTTACAATCTACAGAATTGTGAATCGCAGATGAACTTAATGTTAGATCCTAGAATTACTTTCCAGATGTAAACTTTGACAAGCCCTCCAGTAGGCTGACATAAGCTGTATGCTCGTAACAAGTGCTCAATTTCATCAGTTTCTCAGCGAATTCATTTGAAACGCCTTTCTCTTCGAGGTAATTCATCAGTAGGTCATACAGATACTGCAAAATAAACGGTGCTTTATTCAATACAATAAAGAAGCTTAGGCTGCATTCCGATATTCACTACCAGTACTAAAAATCTATAGTGTACAGTGTATGTTAACTATACATTTTCAACACTGACAGTGAACATCAAAATACAGCCTTAATTAAGTTTTGTGTGCCTGTATACGTGTGTGTACAAGAAAGGAAATTATGTCTGTGATTGGAATTATAGAAATATTAAGAATTAAAGAAGCATTAATAACCAAGGAGTTAGAATAAAATGTGTCACATTCTTACTTCAACGTACACATGAAAAGAGATCATGAGTTAGTTTAATAAGACTGTTTATAATTTCCCAAAGATCAATAATCAAAGTAGCCATCGCGGTCAACTTTGTACTCAACACTTTGGGGTGATAATTTAATCTTTACAAATTGAAATGCATTTCGACTTCATCAGATTTTACTTCAAAACTTTTAAGTATCAGAGATGTTCTAGAGAAGTAAAGAGAGATAAATTTAAAGGTATGTGCCTCGGTGGTCGAATTGGTTGAGACGCCCGCCTAGCGAGAGGTGAGGTCCAGGTTCAAATCCTGGCCGAGGTGATATTTTTTCGCAATAAACTTAGAATAGAATATTTAGACACTGCCACCCTGTCACAGCTCTGAGTCCTTTAAATTCTTTGAAATTTGTGTTTAACACAGACAAGCCAGACTAATTTATTTAGAGGAAAGTATTGACACTCGGATTTTTGAAGACTAATGATCACTGTACAAGATTGATTAGTAGCATTCGTAATTGTATTAATTCTTGTTAATTATTATGTTAAAAGCAATAAGAATGTTATATTATGAATACTTACACCGTCGATGATCTCGCCAGCTACGGAGTATACCTTTTCACTGTGTTCTCCCTCATACAGCGTGATTTCATCGATGCCGAAGAGGTCATCTGCGAAAAAGTAGAATTAGGTTTTGCAATAACATTAAAATTGAGGAAATAAATATGAACAATGCAATGACAAAGTAATGTCGTGCACTCTCACATCTACAGCACGTAATTATAACATCTATCAAGGGCGAGCTGATTTCACAGTACTGGGAAATAATAATTATGAAGACGAAAGCGAGGGAAATCCCCTTCTCTGTACTCGATAATTTAAAACAGAAGGTAACAAGATAACAAGTGTACGTACTGTAACTATCATCGCTACCCGACGCACCTGGTTGATTGTTAAAAGAACACGTGAAGCCTAGAGTCTGATTGCCCCTCACTATATCTACCATGAAAGTCGGCTTGCTCTTCATTTCCCCGACTTCTACATTGTCATTATTAGGATTCACTTCCTCGTCAGCGTCCGCGTCCACCGTATGATTCACATTGAATGAAATGTGGATGCTGGAAATAAATAGCGCAAGCTAAATACGCCGAGAATCTACCAAGTAATCCAACGTGTTAATGTGGCAAAACTTTCTTACGTATCAGTGCCGTCTTTCTTTTCAAGATTAACTTCGGCGCCATTGAGGGACACCGAGAAGCCCTCCAACGTCGTTGGTATCATTTTCAATTTCTGCGCTTTCTTCTCGGCTACTATTTCCTCAGCTAAAAACTCCACCAATTCCTTCTCCGCTAATAAAACAAACGGTAAATACAATTAATAGAAGATAAACAAATAGAATATTAGTCCCTGTGCATACTAAGAGAAATATTAGGAATAGGAATATTGAATCCACATTTAAATTTATAAGCTGGAATATAACTATTTTGGATTGTGACTGTAAAAAGACCTCAGGACTTTCCTTTGTAGCTGTGCTGTAATACATTCCATACAGTTAATCTGAAATCTTGAAGAAAGGAGACCGACGTCTGTTCTTTGTAACTGAACCGACTGCGACAGTTTAGAATTTCTTTCTCCTTCCGCGTCAGAAGGGAAAAGGTAAACTCTGGACCACGCAGCTAGTTCAGCTACAAAGAACGGACCTACGAAAAGTGCAAGTTCAATTGTAAAAAAAGCACATTTAATAAATTTGTCAAATATTGCGTCAGTTTACAATCATGGGATTTAACTTTTGAAAATTCCACAGAATCACTGCTTAAGGGAAGTGGGAAAAAGAGAACGTTTCAAGTCACAATTAAATCTTGAATATTATTTAAATATAAATCTTTATATTATTTAAATGTTGCAAAGTTTCAGTTTGCGAATGGAACGAACGTGGAACTCGTGGCACTGCGACCACGGTTCCGGCTACGAAAAAAAAACCGATTAACGCGAAGTCCGTCCGACAGGACACCCTGGTCGGCGGTTTGATACCTTTGGTGTGCGATTTGCTGTAACATCTTCGGACATGGAGATCGTGTAACTCGAGCGAGGACACGGGAGGCGCGAATTCGGTGGTCCGCCGGCGGCCGCAAAAATTCCACAAAGCCCTGGCGGGTTGACCGCCGCTGTTGCTGCCGCACGAAGACGACAGCACGCCGCGGAGGGCCGCAGCACGTAACGCGCTCCTCACGATACCATTCATGCTGACAGAGCTAACGAAAAATCAACGGCGACCAGCCACGTGCAGCTATACAGTGAATCGATGGAGAAGCGCGAGGAACACGGATGAGCGGCGTCCGGCAAGAGGAAAACGATTGCGTCACGGCGGCTCGGCTCGGGCCTGACTTCCGGCACACTGTTGCCAACAACAAATTATGGGTCCGTTCTTTATAGCTGACTGCACTAGTTCCAGCATATGGGTGCGTTTACACTGGCTTGCACTAGTGTGCACTGAGTACGCACTAAAGCCCGCTGCAGACGATGCTATTTTTCCTGCTGGATTGCTTGCAATCTAATAAATTACTATCGTTGCACCATTCAGCACTCAGGATTCCTAGTAATTTTGTAAATCGCAAGCTATCCAGCA